GGCTGAACTATCACAACAAGCGTTACCACATATCTTGAGTGGGTTTATATCTTATTCCAGCTTGCATGCAAACTTCAATTAATTTAAGGCAGAGTAATATCAAATAAAATTGATCATAACGCTGTTTTCAGAAGTCTGTCCTCTCATTATTCTCTAAATGTTGTCGTACTCTGAGGACAGGTGTGCTGACAAGTAAACTAACAGAAAAGTGTAATCGTATTTTAACGTCATCTTACTTTAGCTGCAGTCATCAGAGGTGATGTCAGGAAGGGAGCCTGAGGCATTCAGGCGTTCGCAGGTTTCTCCATCCAGTGCTGATGTGATTTGCCATCGAGTCAGTGAGCAGAACACATTCCCACAAAAACACAAGTGCTAGTGAGTATCTTATCTGTGGAGAAGCAGAGAGGCTGCGTTTCTCTCAGAGAAAGGCAAACAGAAGATAAGAGAGATGTTGAATCGTCATCCTTAAATCTGATTCATGTTTCCACCGTCCACTCTGGAGTTTATTGGTTCCTTTATCTGATGATGACTGCTTTGTGTCAACACAGTGTTTGAGTGGTGATGTTTATTTTTCTTTAATGTAATCAGAACAAAAGTCACCCAGGATGTATTATCATAGCAAAACAAAGATGGAGCTGAAGGAAAGGGCATCAAGCAAATTGAAGAAAACAGACACAAAGTAACCACAAACTGCAGCACAGTGCAGGCTTTGGGGGTGTTTCATGACTGACTGAGAGGAGAGAAATGCAAACAGACGAGCTACAGGAACGAAGACCATATATAGATCAAATTACATGACTTTATCAGGTACATTTAAAGCAACCAGCCTTGACTAAAGTGCTGTACAATAAAATGGTTTAAACAAGAAACAGCAAAAAAAACTAAGAGAGACAAAGAAGCGAGAAAAAGGGAAAACTTGGGGATGAGAAAAGCCTGAGATAACGGGTGTGTTTTCTGTCTCAAAACTGGTCCAAAATGAACGTTTTTCCTCCTCCTGCTGAGGGAATAGGACTATTTCAAAGTCTATGTTTGCACTAATAGTTTCAATCTTCCTTCCAACCCTAAAATGAACATGTAAAAACGAAAAAACTTGTACTGTCTGACGCAGCAGCAAGCACAAAATTTGCCAAGTTGAAATGAGGCCAGATGGGTTAAACAAGAGGTACATATGGGTATCATCTGCATAGCAAATGAATGAAAATGTTTTGTGAAGGTGGAATGTAGAGGAAACATGCACAAGGAGAACAGCACAGGTCCTAACATGGAGCCTTGAGGTACTCCACAGGTAAGGTGAGCAGCTTTCTAAATGAAATCCAGGGACATGGGGGGTGGTGGACAGACGGACACATCTTTACTGCGGTGAGTAAACAACTACTGTGTGCTACATGCTCACTCCTGCTTCCTACCTACCTCCCGGGCAACCATAATAACCGTTGTTCTAGTCTACATGCAAACTTTTTTTTCTCATTTATAAATCACTAAAATCGGGGACTCTTCTGGGGGCAGGTTTATCCACAGACGGGTCATCCAAAACGAGGACTGTCCCAGGAAATCACGACGTCTGGTCTCCCTTTCCACTGGTGATGGGTGCAGATGCAGAGAAGAACACCGGAAAGCACCACCCTGGATACCAACATGATGTCTGAGGCGGTTTAATGGTCTGCCATGTCAAAAGTAAAGGTGAGGTCCAATAAGAGTGATATTGCAGAGCGGTCAGTGTGAAAGGACATCAGCAGGTCATTGCAGACTTTAGAGCAGAGCTGACTGCTGTGACCCTCCCTGAAACCAGACTTATAACCGTCTGTGATCTGAAGGTGCTGCTGTTTAAAAGGCCAATAAAAACACACGGATGTGAGCCTGAATAAAAACACTGAGTTTAATATGATTTTTGACAGTGAAAGACGATAACGTCCTGACTTTATCATCAGTGATTTACGACTTTACATCAAGATCATGACAAGACTTTAACGCGAGATAAAACATGCACATCAATACTAACTCAGCCAAATAAGCTGATATTGATACTGTTGCCATGGAGGCGCAAACAACAGTCGAAACTGAGGGAGTATTTCCAGCTGAGTAAACATTTTTAAATCTATGAAATCATCTTTGAATCAATACTGAGGGTAAAACTGTTTGTTGGCAGCTGGATAATAAGCAGGATAATAAACAATGAGTGTGAAAAAGCATCTCGACACGATGAAACGAGACAGGTCTCTTCCCTCACTAGAAAAAAATATCAAGTTTCCATCTAATGTTTCCCATTTAAGATGCTTACAGGCATCATTACTGTCAGTCTGATTGTAAATTATAAACTGGTAAACTGAATAAATTCAATTAATCCCATAAATGATTCAGGGTTAGTGAAAAAGCTGCTACTACAGCTGAGGATGAGACGACTGTTGCTTTGTTTTTGCTGCCTTTTACATCAGAGAGAGCCCCGGTAGATCTAATTCTCATCGAGCGCCTCATTGATCGCCCTTCTTGAGCGACATTTCCTCGTTCCATTAAGCGGGACCCTGGGCTGAATTCCCTCACCGCCTATTAGCAAGATTTCATGTGAAGGTGAAGGCCGTATCCTTCTTTGACACGATCAATATGTCAGCTGTTGGTGGATGGCGTCAATAAACCAACAGATCATTAAGAAGCAGCGATCTTAATCCCAAAGCCAGAGACTATTTTTAGAAACTCGAACAGGTCGATGTGAGGCAAGTTTATTTGGGGTTAATACTGTCAGACTAAATGGACTCCAGGTAATGATATTAAAAAAACATCAGGGTCTTAATGTCAGTCATAAAATAATCTGTGAAATGAGAAGTAACTGCATCAGAGCACTGAAACACTCGAGTTTCCCTCCTTCACACATATGCCGTTGTAACTCTAATATATGCTCACTTGATTAGATTAACACCAGATTAAATTTCAGTTATTTCTTCCCAATAAAATGCACTTTATCTCCTGGTATTTACATGTGATATCTGTTCACTTTAAACGGCGTGCATTCACATCAGAGTCAGCTGATTCTGCAGACTGCTCCTCGCAGATGTTACCTGCACCTGTTCGGGTGAACGTGTTTAATAAAAGGGTTGATATTTTACGCAGAATTTTTCACGTATGTAGAGCAGAGTGAAGCCATCTGTGGAGCTGTTAATATGGCACATTATGAATATTCATATAGACCCTTCTGCTCCTTCAGTGTGCATGCATTTTACAGTCATTAACCTGACAGAGAGATTGACTATAAGATATGATTACCAACGATTTTTAACGAGAGATATGCTTTCAAGTGTTTGCAAATATTCACACTCAAGTGTCAAGCTAATTTATTGAAACTGATCTGAGTGGAAAGCATCTGCTCAGTTATCAGATGTCCTTTATTTTTACAACGAACAGATATGAAAATGAGAACAAAAGTACACACACATTTTAAAGCCTGATAAGTTTTCAGCTGCTCTACAGTTTAAGGTCTCCTTTGTCGTCATATTTAGTGTCATGATGTGCCAAATGTTTTCAATGGATTATAAACTGGGACTGCAGGCAGGATTCTTCTACTACTGAGCCACACTGTTGCAGTCTGTGCAGACAGGTCTATCCTGAAAGGGTCTTTGTCTAAAACTGTAAATGGTCAGTATTTATGGGTGCCCCCCCCAACCACTGAGAGGGGTCTGGTTGCAGGTCTTCACTGTCAAGACCACAGACTGTATATAGAATGGACGCCGTCTACCTCCTCGCTGGGTTAAGCTACTCCGAGAACAGCACCCTCTGGTGACGGGCTGCAGTTTACGTCATAAATCCCGCCTCCGGCAGCAAAGCTGATGGAGCTGTGGACAAACTTCAGCGACTCTTCTTCGAATGCGTACAATTCTACTGCGCAATGTTGGTTTAAGGAAGCAGCGAAAAAACACAAAATTACCGAGAGCTTTTTGGCTTCATATCCGTATCCTGGCTGAAGGCTGAACCAAGTTGTCCATACAGTCTATGGTCAAGACGCACCTCCACTGATAGGACCCGAGGTTACGTTTTTTCTCACACGCTCCAGTTTGTTTAAAGTGGTCATCCTGTTTTGCATTTTCTCTTTGTTGAACACATGAACACACACAAAAAGTCATATTAACATTATATGCATAGAATAAAGCCCCAAGAAATAAAGTATATTCACACGAGACATAAAATACGTACTTCCCAGTCTAATTGCTTTTAATTTGAAAGGCTTCGAATCAACTTAAGACATAAAAAAACATACTCCTGCTACATTTGCTTTTATTTTGAAAGGCTTCAAATCAAATTCTAGTCTGCTCAGTGGAGGTGGGTACTCATAGAGGAGGTCTGCAGCAAGACTGTTTTGCAACAATCAGGGATGCTAACTTTAGAAATATGCATTGACAACAAGTCAGGTGGTCCCTCTCCTCTTTGTCGTGGACTTCATGGTGTCCATGATTTCCAGAAAGAATATCAAATTTTAGGCTCAGGCTCAATGACGTTTATGTGGGTGCAGTGATTCATTGTTTACAGACAAAAGTATTCAGTTGGGATTTTAAGCCCGTGTGATGGTTACTACTACAGAGCCATGTCCATTTTTGGATTTTGAGCCTTGTCCCTTTTGTGCAGAGATTCACAGAGTTACAAAACCAGTTGCATGAAATCTAATAAGTTGGGAGATTTTCTTTTAGCTGTATTGACTTTTTTATTGCACAGATTTTTTTAAATTAATTTTCTGCTCCTGTCTGAACTTTTAAAAAAGTGTTGCTGGCATCAATTTCATAATGAGCACAGTTTCCATAAAACCAAATTTTCATGTTGCAAACCTTTGAACTCTGTTAACCTTTCCACTGCGTCCCAACTTTTTAATTGGGGGTAGTCGTGGTGCAGCTTCGGTGGAGGAAAACAGCACCATCTGCTGGAAGCGTTTATCTCCACTCATGATCTGGAGGTTCAAATGAGATTTTCACAAGAGTGCTCTGCTCCGTGGACACTAACTATACTTAAAAATCAAAAACAAAGACAGGCAGGGTTGTGTTTTATTGCAGTCAGAAGAAGAAAACAGTGTACCGTACAGTTTTGTGCAAGTCAAAACTCCAATTATCAGCCGTCAGTGTGAGCAGTAGTTATTTGCTGAATAAGAGGTATATGTTGCATAGTAAAGGCATTACACGGCAGCTCAGGGGTTACAGACAAGTTAGTGTGATTAGTACTTGAATTATCACAGTAGCACCTTTGTTCAAACAGCACCGGACTCATTTAAAAAGAGGCATATGGACAACTTACATGAAGCTTTTGTTAAAAACAGACTTAATACAGTTTAAAATTCAAGTAAAAAGTGAATCAAGCAGAAGCTTTTATCGAGCTCCTCCAATACAAAACAGCAAAAGTTGAAAGATGACATCTACAGACACGGTTAAATACACTGTAATAGGTGATTGAAATGTGTTTATATAGAATTATATTAGAAATTATGTTTTAAAATAACAATATTCCTCAGGCTCATCACTGGTGCAGACTCAGTCAGCTTTCCTCTTGATACTGAGCAGCTGCGAGAAGCCCTGTAGTGCCCAGTACAGCAGAGAGAGGGAGACAAAGGCCTGAAAAACACAAAGAGGGAGAGAGAGAGAGAGAATTACACCAGATGTGCTTCTGTTTCCTTCAAAATAAAAGCTTTTGACACCTTATAAACAATAACAAACAAGAGGTGATTAAGCTCGCTTCAGGTGCTTTTTTAATGTGCAAGTGTAAATGAGCCAACTGCTTGAATATGAGGAGGAACATGCAACAAATCCAGAGTTGTATCATGTATCATCGTAGTATCATGGTTGTTGTTTATATGGATATCAGTAATAGTATTTGTATCTGTATTCGTAATAGTTTGGGTATAATCATCAGAATCTGCATAAGAATCTATATTAGTGTCAGTATCTGTAAAAGTATCAGTATAAGTATGTACAAGTGTCAGGTTCAGTATCTATATCTGTATCTTTATCACTATCAGTACCTGTAGTGGAATTAGAGACAGTATCTATATGAATGTCAGTATCTGTATCAGTTTTCAGTATCTGTATCTCGGTGTCAGTATCTGTAGTCGTATCATTGTTGCTGTCTGTATCAGTATCAGTAATGGTATATGTATCTGCATTGGTATTAGTATCTGTTTTGGTATAATTATTACTATCTTCATCAGAATCTATATTGGTATCAGTATCAGATTCTATACCAGTATCAGAATCAATATTTAGTTCCTGTTTTGGCATCGTTGTCACTGTCTGTATTTGTTCCTATATTAGCATTAGTATCAGTAATGGTTCCTGTACCATTACTGTTCTGTTCTGACTATTTCCGTAAAGAGTTATAAATACCAAAACTCAGAACAAACATCAATTATTTTTCTATTAACTTTGATTTTTTAAATATTAGCTTTTTACTGTTTGGGAAAAACCAAAACTCCTGCACAGTATTTTACACAGTTTGTTGACAGATTATTGTAGTGGACGTTTGGTAAGCTAACAGAAAGGTTTTTTCTCTTTCAATAACATCATGTCGAATTATTTTCATATAAACATCAGAAGTGTTTCCCTCTCAAAGACTGAAAAAGACGAGGAAAAAGACTTAAGTGCTGAAAAATGTTCAGCTGGATCATTGTACCCCAGAAAAGGTCGATGACTGAAGTAGAAAGTGTGACAGGTATCATTTACGAGCAGTGAGCAGAAAGGCAAACAGTGGAAGTGAAATCTAATTGAAAGAAAACAGAGGGGAAGATGTGGAGAGTGGGCTCAGAGCTCTTCTCTCCTGACGCTCTTACGGTGGGGTCAGGAGGTCACTGTCATGGGGGACCTCGCTGTTCAGAAAAGAGAGGAGAGGGGAGGGGGTATTTCTGCCAGAAACAGCCGGGCCTCCACCCCTCGCTGCGTTCTGGCCCATAAACTGCATCCTACATCGCAACCCGAGCCAAAACCCCGACCGCTGTCCATCACAGGCAGAACGGCCTGATGGGAAAAAAAGCAGCGTTTCCTCGTGGACACGGCAGCTGTTTTCCTCTGAGAGGCGCAAAGAAAGAGAGAGAGAGAGAGAGGAACACAAAGCTCTCTCTGGTTTCTACCTCTCAGTACCTGCTCTGAAATCTGCCTCCACACAGACGGAAAATAGAAACTGAGCGACTGACGGAACAAAGAGAAAGACGGAGCGAAGGCCGCCTCCTGTTTTTTACCTGCTCTGATCCTTTAAGTTCAAACATTTTTCTTCGGCGAAACCCAAACGACTTAGTAGCTTGTGATCAATCCATGTTCAAAGTAATTGATCAAACCTATAGATAGATACATTAGTCAATATTAGAAGAAATTATCTATAATTGATGTTTCTGACAGCTACAAATGTCCCAAAAAGTCATAATAATAATGATAATTATAATAATTATGACAAACAAAACAAAAATAGACATAGAAACCAAAAACAAAATAGTTTTTATAACATGAGGGACCTTGTATCATTGACACATAAGTTTGTATTTTGGAGGTTGTGATTACTCCATGATTAAACAAAAACAAAAGAAAACAAAGAAGAAAAAAAACAAATAGAAACAAATAAGCTGGATTACAGAAACGTTACTCTGTTTACACTTTGTAGGAAACTTTGGAGCTTTAATGCTTCCATGAGCGAAAAAAAAGGAAAAAAAGGAAAAAAAATAAAAACAAAAAAAACAACAACGAAGCAAACAAGATAAAATAAACAAACAAACAAAAAAATATATATATCAATGGACTAGAAATATCTTTGTTCTGTTTACCCATTCCAGACTACTTTGGAGCTTTTGGTGAATTTATTGAATAAAAACAAAGAAAAAATAAGAGAAAAAAAGAAAGAAATTATCTATGGACCACAAAAAACTTGTTTAATTTTCACATCTTTAGGTATTTCTGAGCTTTAGATGACTTTTAACTAAAACAAAATCAAAAAACAAACCAAGAAAGTCACTTTGGACGGCAGAGAGAAATGCAAAGCGAAACGAAACAAAAACAACAACAAAAAAACAAACAAAAACAAAAAAACTAAGAAGTACTCCAGATCAGACAAATTCATTCATGTTCCATATTTCTCAATATCATTTTCCTTTTTTTACCTCAACTTTATCTGCTAAATAAATAAACTGAATGTAAAGAAAACTTTATTACAAACAAGGTTTTTTTCTTTTTATCCTAATTGACGGTAAAGACTGAACAAGAGAGTTTAAAGATGACATGCAGCACAAGCCAGAGGGTCATCAGGTCTAAATCTCTGTCACCTCTGATCACGAGCTGCCTGCTCTACAGACCGAGCTTAAACAGCGCCTCATACTTCAGTGCCCAACGGGGTTAATAGAAGAGGTGCGATGAGGGGATAGTCAGAATAAAGTCTAATCCATTTTACAGCATGTTTTCTGAGCATAATGTCATTATTTTAAACGTGGAGACAAAAGGTCTGAATTCTCTGAAGTAAAAGCAGATTACAGAGAAGCATAACTGCATCATGTCCTTCATGGAGACGGATTGGGATCGAGAGGTTTAGCGCAAACCTCGCAAATCACATTTCACTCAGAGAGCCCGAAGCATGACAGACGTTTCTATCAAATCCGCATGTCGAGGCAGAAGAAGGGCACCCACTTCTCCCTGTTTCCATCTCTCCTCATGTACCCCTCTTCTCCTCTTATTAATGGACTCTGTGGAAATCCATGTGGGACAGATTACATCGTGGAAGGAAGCGGGTTTGATCGTCTACAAATAAGCACTACGACCAGCCAGCAGCGGCTCCAAAAGTGGGGATCTCAGCAGATCAGCTCGCACTCACTTTGTTTTGGGGCTGAAGGTACTTAGTTAAGGGCAGTTATACAAAAAACCACAAACATGTGGCTTTGTGGATTTTTCTCTGCTTCTTTGAAGAGCTTTATTTACTCAGGGGGAAAAAGAGGACTCTTTAGTTTAAGGCCAAACTCTCTTGTCCTGGTGAAAGTTTAATTGACAAAAATCCTCTGACGTTTGCAGGAATTATGCTCGCCAAGAAATGATTGAACTAATCAGCACCAATAATATCTGCAGACACTGCAGGCAGCCTTGCCAGTGAGTTCACCATGTATATTAGATTGTAGTGTGTATGCATGGTGTTATTATGAAATTGTTGTATTTTAAAAGTTGCACAAAAAAGAAGCAAAATAACAATCAGCGTTCTATATCATCAGCTGTTCGTCTCTATTTATCAGCCACTGGCATCGACAGGTCAACCACGAGCATAATTGCTGTTTTTCGGTTGCTAAGTAGCAGGTCTGTCTAAAACTGGATGTAGATTTCAGTGACCAGACACGGTGCAAACACAAAAAGACACATTTTGAGGTCTGACAATACAAAAAAACCCACCATAAAATACCCGTACAGACATTTAAAAAACAGTCATTTTCTGTGCTGCAAGAGGGCATTAAACATCACGTATCCATACTTAACACCACAGGGTGCATTGTGTTGCCCCGGTGACCAGCCGTCGTCCTGCCCTCTGCGGGTTAACATGGCAGAGCCACACCGCTCTCCTGCACAGCTGCACTGGTGATTGAAATGAAAACAGTGCAGAGCGGCTGCTGTCAGGCCTGTGATGTACGACCTGTAATAGGATGTTTGCAGAGCCCCGCTACACATGGCTGCTGCTACAGTCCACCAGACCCGGACTGAAGTGTATCAGAAAGGGATCTGGGTCTTTTAATCTTGCTGCAGAGGCAGAGGAGTGGAGTTTGAACAGTTTGCAACACGTCATAATGATTTTCAGTCATAAAATATAGGATTTATTTATTGATAATGTATTTCTAGATCTGTGCACCTGCTGTAAGGGAAGTAGATTCACTGTAAAGTGGTTTGTTATATTTTTTAAGAGAATCTCACACATTAGCAAAACTTTTAAGATCTTCCTCTGTAACTTTTTAATAACTTTTAAAGTTCATGAAAATCCTGGCTATTAAAGATTCCATTCAAAAAGAATACCAAAGTTATTGGGTGCACAGCATCACTGATAGAATTATAGTTAAAGTTCAGTTAAACCATTTTAAACAACTGCAAACATCCAAAACCGACCGGGTTTAAAAAAACGACGAGTCTTGTTCATATAAATCCCCAAAAGTCTGGGTGAAAGGCGCGACGCACACACACATATCTATTCTACAGAGAACATTTCCTGTCTGCTAATAATGAGCAGATTTAAAGCATGAAAGAGACGGACATATTTATTACTGAAGGCCTGAAATGTCGGCCATATGCTCTGTTAGAGCTGTAGTGCAGCCGCCCACCACTGGAGGAATGCATGATGAGCACATGTATGTAAATGTTAACCTGCAAGAAGGTCTGAGAGTTAGTGGTGCTACTGCTAACTTTAGCGATACCTGGCAAACTAGTTACTACTCTGTTAAAAAACTGCACTCACTTTGTCCAAAATCTTTTCTGACTTTAAGACCGGTTGGGTGGTCAGGATTTAAAGCTACTATGTGGAGTTTTTATGTTTATGAAATGGACTGATATTCACACTGATGCTTTTACATGATATATGATATCAGGGACAGGATTGACTATTTGTATATCTTCGTTTGAATGCCTTAAACACCTGTAAGGACTATTTGGTTTGTGACGACTTTGGCGCCCCCTGTGGACAAAGCAGTCTTTGCTTATTTTGTCCTCTTCATGCAAAAGTAGAGTCCTTTGACCAAAAGTCTCATCCTGCTGCCTAATAAAAGTTTACTATTGTATATTCTGAAACCATAAATATAAATTTCATAAACATGAAAAAACTCCTCATAATAGCTTTAAGTTGGATATTAAACCACCGTGTATTTAAGATAAAGTGCGTCTCTATTGTGCGGTTAAAAAGGATCATGTATAAGTATGAAGAAACATGGTGTGACATGTACACACATATCCACGTGTTCATGTCCACATGCTCATGTGCGCCTCCACTCAAAGATCAATTCCTGTCTGTTCATTATAAGCAGATATACGTCTCAGCGCACGGGCTGTTTGAGCAGCAGGAAGGATACGCTGTGCAGGTTAATGTCCCTCCTGAGGGTCCGACTCTGCAGCACAGCCATGAGAATCACTGCCATCACACTCCCACGCATGCACACACACACAGTCACACATTCATGTGCTGTGCAGCCAGACAAAACACATGTGAAAGTGCAGTTGCTGCTCGCTGAAAGCGTAGCAAAAACACAAAGTAGTTTGATGATACGCAGATTTGAAACGATACAGTTGTTTGGAGGTTTTTACTTTCACATCTGTTTTTTGTTTTGATTTACCGTACGCCTGCAAAAAAGGTCACATGTAAGGTCAAAGATGGCGCACCTAGACTGTTACGGCTCATTGAAAACATCCCGAAGAGTTTCATATCTGTTCAGTTCACTTAACACCACAGCAGCTTTGTGATACTTTACTTTCAGAGCTCTTTCTTCAAGTGCAGACCTGTGGACTCACTCTGATACCGGTTCAAGTCACATCTTTGTTGTCTACAAGTTCGGAAATTTGCCAAAAAGATAAAGCTTAAACGGAGTTAATAAGCTTAAACTGAGTTGACAAAATGAAGCCAAAACTAAAGAACTGCAGTTCCTTGAGTGTCCACTTGGGGCTGGCTCCAAATCAAACAAAGTCCCATTGACACCAATGTTAACATGCCAATTTTTACATCAAAATCTAACATGTTTACATTCTGGTGCAGTAAATAGGTTAGGCTTGAATAGCACATTTATTGACGTGTACACACTGCGTTGGGGGTCATTGGGGGGTCACTTAAAGGTTCGTACATTAAAGCTGTTTGCAAGGACGCTGCCTCAACTCCTTTGTCACTTTTAAGGTTTACCAAAGGTCAGTTTGAGTCAGTGTTTCCAATATGGCCACTGCCGTCTTTGACCTTTATAACCCTTCTTCAGTGCAGAAACAAATAAGGAAACATCACTGAGACTATGCTTTTTATAGCCCTCAACATGGAGCCTCAGCAGAAGCTCCATAAGGAGACTAACTTTTCCCATGAGGCTTTTTTAAACACTTCATTTGTTACAGAAAGCAAGAGAAACTTTGGATCTTTGTTGGTTCCTTTATAATCCATCTGCAAACGTAAACACTGAAGGAATCCCATCTAAAAAAACAAGCTTAGGTGACTTGCAAACAAATTAACTCCATGAGTCGACTCCTGTTGGCTTCTTCCTTCCCTCCATTTCGTTCCATTTAATCCTAAACAGAATAAACGTACGTCTAGTTGGCCTCAGCACACCAGGCGCTGACTCAGCACCGTGTCAATGTGTGTTACGGTTGTTCAGGAGATGATTTAGTTTACTGAGTTTATGATTGATGTGAGACAAACCGTGCACTTACTTCAATCTGGAGTTAAAAACTGGTACAAATGGATGATTTAACAAAAGTCAGAGGCCTTTGGGAGCAGAAAGAGACAAACAATCCAGGTCACCAAGAAGAGTGATATCTATTTTCGAATTGACCTTATTGATGACTTTGTTGAGATGTACCTGTGCACGTTAGCTGCAGATGTTTTCAGTCTGCTGATATTGGGCACAAAAGATCATCATCTAGTGTTTTAATTTGGTTTGTTTTTTGGCCAGTTTTGAGAGAAGGAGGAGAAACAGTTTGCATCTGAACTCCCAGTGAAAATCCTCATAAAAGTTAAAACACAAAAGTGTAATTTTGAGGATTTAAAAAGTGCACGGCGGCCAAATCACTTCCTGCAAAGAAAATATATATTGGATATAATAATAAATGGACAAATTGCAAGTCGACTCTGCTTTTTGGGCTGATAATCTTGGTACTTAAGAAGACATATTTTTAAAAATACGTCCTTTGTTTGTACACAGAAAGGCAAATTATGAATGAATGACTTTCTGTTGCTCTTCCTCCATCCACTGTTATTTCTGAAACTAAAAGCATCTTTTTTCCAAACCTACTGTGCAGTTCAAAGCAGCATCCTGTTTTCCTGCCACATGAATTAGAGGCAGTGATCAAAATGACCGATTCTGGAGTTCTGCAACACAAGCGGTGAGGCTGTAATCAGCTCAAAGATGAGAAAAAATGTCTCCATTTTTCCAGCCTGGACTGAGGTGTTAACACAACAAACACACTAATTGAGGATCTACTGCCCAGCTGATGTTTATTTGACTAAGATGATGAAATGCAAAATCTGAAATAAGATCAGATAGTCTCTTTTAACAACATAAACAAGCCCTGATGACAATAATTCGACCTGAAAGGCTGAAAGGAAAGCTGGGAAAGGCGGACAAATAGATGCTGTGAATGAAAGTTGAGCAACTAAACTAACTGCTTCAAGACAGACAGGATGTTTTGAGAGAAAGGTTTGGGGAGAAAAAAGGGGATTTGGCTGCTTGTTTTTGTTGGTTACCTCCCAAAGGTGAGGGTTGGGATGTAGATTTACCTCACAACCACAACCAGCAGAGATCCCTGACCTTAGCACTGCATTAAAAACAGACATGACTCTGTAGTGGAAGTTTCCGTATAGGCTGAAAATCACTGTTTTTGGTTGTCACTAAATCCACACAGGATAAAACTGTTCCATATCACATACATTTACACACCTGTTTAAAACTGGAAGACTCTTCCTGTCTTCACACACCAAGCGCGAGTAAGATCATTGGCGCGAATGAATTACATGTTAAATCAATGCAAAGACGCAATTAGACACTCGGACTACTCTGGCAGCGCGAATGACGCGAATTGGGTGGTATCTGAAAATGTCACAACTTGAGCAGATATTCGCGTCTCGATAACTAATCAACACAAAGGTTGTCGGGAGCCGTATGAAAACGGACAGTTGTTCACTGGTATCTAAAATGAAGGACGAACTGATCGTGTTGGTGTGTGGGTGCCCCGAATTATATGATACCTTCTCTCTCAATTACAGACACTGGAATAAAAAGGAGTTCGCCTGGAGGCAAGTGAGGAAGTCGGATTACCTGGTAAATTGTGAAAAATCTTTATCACTTGATCCCGTCGTTTGAATTGGCAGTGATTATCATTGAAATTACCGTTGACATGAGAATGAAGCGTGTAAATACTCTTCATTCACGCGTCTAGATTCGCGCGAATTAAGCGAGTAGATGAGTTTACTTGCGCTTGGTGAAAGTGCCCCATTCGTCCATCTGCTTTGTTTACCAATGCATGTCTGTCTAACCTGGTGGTATAAACTTCTTCAAAGATCCTAAGTATGACTAAAGTAAACACCAGATTCCACTCGTAGTAAAGTGAGTCATAAACACTGACAGATTTGAGTTTTTTACCTGTTTGCATGCTATCACAGGTGTCAGATCTGATAAATCATTCAGTCTTTTCAAGCTTTTATGACGTCTTTTATAACGTTAAAACTTTGGCTTGTATTTAATTATGATTCTAATTGATGTCTCTCACTTTCTGAAGTTGTTAAGTAGTTAGCGCTTGTGCACGCTTGTGAACCTGTCCTTTGGCTTTTCAGACATATATGAAAACACACACCTGCCTCCTCCTGCTCCTCTCCCTGCTCTCCTCTCTCTGTTAATAATCTAATATCAGCTCTTCTTGATGGTCAGGTTTGATGATTCTCTTAAAGCTTGGCTCTCCCAGCTTCATCATGCTCATGCGGGTCGTCTCTGCTCTGCAATCTACCAAAATATAAGTTGAGGTTCAGCATTTGTCTTCGGAAAGTTATGGCGTGTGGAGGGAAGATGCACATCCCCAGACTTATGATTGGACAGTAAAGCTTTTGGCAATCAAACATGGTATTAAATGTCCTGTCAATGGATCCCAGTCTCCATCAAGGAATGATCTGAACCCGGCCTCCTGATTACAAATGGATTCTTTGTCTGTCCAGACGAGTGTAGCTGTCCAGCACAACGAACATGCTAATTGCGGATCAATCGGAATTGACAGCTGCGTAAATTTTAGCAGTAAAATCCGTCCAAATCCATGACCCTCTCCTGTTGACAGATGCTGGCAGCTGGAGGCCTTTTCCGACTCATTTCAGGCAAGATACTGAAGTTTGGACTGTTACATAAAAAAAGACCCTTGAAGAGTTTTACTTTACTGCCCTATCGGATGTGTGACTGTTTGCCAGGGAGCCAATGAGTGTGGAGGAGAGAGCGGGGGATTAATAAAGTGAGAGGAGACTGATGACAGCTTTCATTCTCATAAAGATTACTGAATCAATATGCTGAGGCTTCATTCAGAATTATTCTGATAGATTTTACTGGACGAACTCTCTGACTTATCAGTTTTTTAACTTTATGAAAGGCTTTTGTTATTTTCTTTAAATTGAGAGCAGAACTCTGATTTTCAGCTTTATGTGCTGTTTGGAAGAGGGAGGAACCACGAAAGGACCTCGAGTTAAAAAGTTAAGGTATTTGTTTAGTTTCTTTTACTGCATTAAAATGTGGTTTCAGTTATAAAAGTCACTTTACAGATCTGCTAACAAGAGGTCCTGCAGTTGAAACACCATAACTTTAAAATTGGGAGTTGTTGTCTTTCCTCGTTCTCGACTCTGATTGTCTGTTTCTGTTTCCTTTCACTTTAAAAGTAGTTAAAACATCAAAAAGGTTTGCTTGGTCATAAAATAAATCATATCATTTTAAAGTAGTCCTCTTTTCAGACGTGTTTACAGTCTGTTTCTAGGAGAAACGGTCTAACCAAGTGCATCAGCGGATTTTTGAGACAACTTCACTGAAATGAGAAAACAGCATGAATCTGCTCCGTCATCACAGGCGGCGTTCGACAGTTTACTTTTATTTATGTCGGACAAGCGATGCTAATTTCCCTCTTGGTGCATCTTAAACGCTGTTTTCATCGTGTTTTGTTGCCATGCATCGATAGACCTGCCTTTCGTAGGTGCTATTCTTACATTTATCTAGTTTTATTACTCTGCTGTCTTCATGACAAGGGTGAGCCTTTTCTACATAGCATTAGGACTCTGAAGACAGACTCTGCTGGATTACTATAATAATATCAATGAGAAGAAGAAAAAATTGGGTTAGATCGTTGTCAGAGTGTTTACAATAGAAAATAAGAACAAGAACAGATAAAAAAAAAGGGAAAAGCAGAATCGTCTGAAGATGTTAAAACTGTAGAGCACGCAACATCAGCTTATGCTCTGTAAATCTGATTTTAGTTGTTTTTTTTAGCTGTTTTTAATGTGTAATTGGTTTTAATTTTTTTATTCCTTTAATCTAATCTTAACTGATTTTATCAGGGTTTGTTTTTTTTTTTGAAACTCCAGCACAATAACTCTGATTCCCTACCACAGTGGCTGCTCTAGTTGGGTCATTTTTTGGCCTTTTGGGGTCAAATTACCAGTTTTACAGCATGGCACTGCTTACCTCGCCATCTGATTGTGAAAACTGCAAAAGAAACAGCCAAGACAGAAACTAACTCCAGGAGAGGATCTCAGTTCTTCACCAGATCAGTGATACATAAATAAAATCTACAAAACTGAACAGGATTGGTCACAGAGCTGTTTAAGGACTAATAACTGGAAGGAAATGTTACTCAGAGAAAAATAAACTCAACCAGGTGTGGCCCTGGTCACTCTACTCAACTTCACTAACAGTGGACATGTTCGTTTTAAAATTCTATTTTTTTGTGCTAGCAGCATCTATTTTTGTTTTCCTAATGGGGGTTAAAATTTTGAAAATTATTGATCATAATGACCCAAAAAGCTGCTGGTCTCACGAAGCGAGTGGATTTTATGGTAAATTGATATGTCGTGTTGTTCTGTTATTACAGTTTGAGTTTGTTCACACAACAATATCAGGTGGTCCATGACAGTGGTTTGGAGCACATCTGTTTCTGTCTGCCATCCTCTGCTACTTTTAGCTGAAAATAGATCAACTGTTAAAGCAATGTGTGTGTCAATACCATTTCTTGACCATAAACCAATCAGAATCAAGAAGAGGCGGGACTTCTGATATCTACTTCAGCACTGACAGGACAAGCTAAATAAGGATGCGCTCCATTGATATTCCCTGCTTAAATCAGCCTTGCCATCGGGCCTGTGATAAAGTAGAATAAAAATAACAGAATGTTCCTTTATTTTGAAGGGAAAGGGTGAAGAAACGGGGATATTTGGTGATATCAAGCGGTCACTCTAGATTGAAATGCTCCCCTCGCTCACCCCTCTGTGATGGTGGTCTTTAAGGTCAAGAAGCTCCTGTAACACATGATGCCGTAATTTAAATATTCTCATATATTAAATAATCCATTTCTACCAAGTCCAATTGTGTCTGAATTATACCGACGTAAAAGTCAAAAGTTGTCAACAGGAGACATAATTCAGAGATAGTGATACCTTAAACTCCCACTTAACTACGGTAACTGTTTGTGTTTCATTGCCTCCCTCCTCAAGTTCAATCAGGTTCACATGTTGGCTCTGGAGCTGGATCATAAACTGGATGACTGTTGTGTTTCACTCATGAGTTAAAGCACAAATAGGAAGACAAATTCAAAAGAAAGTCGATGCTGGCCGCAGAAACTCACCCCACAAAGCCAAACTAAATAGAGCTGGAGATCCCCCAAAGGACCAATTTCTGAGAGATTTCCACAGCTTTACCTGGCAAGTGGTTTGACAACATAAACCAAGCGGTTACTCTTTGACGGGCTCGATCCCCTGCACATTGAGTGATAATATTTCACACTGTGTACGCTCGACCACCCGCTGTTTACTCCAACGGGACGGTCCTGCCCGGCGTTTCTCTTTCAAATCCCTCCATTTTCTCCCTGGGAGGAGATTTCCTTTCCTTTCCACTCCTGCGAGCGCTCACATGATGTCATGAGTTTCCACTGCTCCAAACAATCCTGTTAACCTCAGCGCTGCTTCTCGCTACCACACATTCCTGCTCCGGCAGAGAGAAAGGGCGGCTGACCTCTCCCACCTGAGGTCTCCCGAGTGGAAACTACTCCCTCAGATAACACTGACCTCTCACCGCTCTCTCCGTTATCTGCTCGCTCACGGCTGTGAGAGCGGGAAAGACGGGGTGGGATTGACAACAATTTAGCAGAAAAGTCAGGTGATGTGTTACAGATAAACTAACTCTGGGCCTTTTTGTCGAGCATGGTCTTCATAATATTGACCTGACCTCTCTGTGCGTTCGTCTGCCTCTAAAAAGTTTGACACAAAGCGGCGTTTTTCTACGATTGGAAAACTATCAGCACAGAAATGAAAAGATGGAAAATCAAACGGGGTGTGAAAACAGCTTCAGAGTTTTTTAATATCTTGGATTGAGCTGGATTAGGTAGATTTGAGTTGGCTTCTCAAGTGTCAAACTTGCATGAGTCAATAAATCACTTCTTGAGCTCATTTATAACCAGAATGTCATCTACGTAGAAAAAAAGAGGAAAGGCAGAAACGATTGATGAACTAAGTCTGCCAACGGATACATTGGTGCTTTAACTTTTCCAACATTTCATGCCCACAGAATCTGCTGTATATAATCATTTCACGGTTATATGTGACGGTAAACTTGAGAACAGGTTTAAAATAACAGAGAATACAAATCTTAGATGAATAATTTTTCAAGGGTTAGTCCACATTGAAAGATTTTACAAATCCTAAAAAGTGTTGACGATAAATAAAGACAGAGTTGACTGTTTTCTTTTTTGTAGCTGAATTTCCAACGGTCCCTAAACACCACACTTGACGGCTCTGTGACCACACTTTAAAAGGTTTCAATATAGATGTAACATCGTCTGAACCAAGCGGCAAGACAGAGTGGTCTTGAAAAATGAAGTCAATGCAGAAGCGCTAAGATCTGCAGTTCCCTGAGTGTCCACTAGAGGCTGGCAGCAGAAGCACCAGAAACCACCTACACACTAAGCTTAAAATAAACATTTTTTAGAGAAAAAAAAAACCCTGATTACAGCCTGGTTTAAAAGTGGTTTCAGAGAAGAGAAGCGCTTACGGACCCAAGAGTGAATTAAGGTTAATCAGCGGTGAATCAGCTGACTCATCAGGTGGGCCCATTGTGAGAGGGATAAACGCCCGCATCTGGTAGGTTGACCAAAAATTGGGTTGAGTCAATATTACAAATATGGCGACCACTGCTGATTTCGCTTGACTTAAGTGCAAATTTCATAACAATATTAGATGTTTTTACATTATCATTAAATTATTACATTATAGGGTGCAACAAGAAGGGCTGGGTGATATGGCCTCAAATCAATATCACGATATATTGATCCGTTCACCACGATAACAATAAATGGACGATAACTACTCAACAAGCTGCTCACCCCCTCCCACATTAACTTCATCCAGCCGCCGCTTCAACTTTTGAACCATCCTCCATCTCCTCACGTCTTTCCCTCTTTGTTACAGACTGGATTGGTTGGAGTCACGTCTCTGACGTTGGACAGCGTCTTAAAGGGACATGAGACCATAGCCTACCTACACACATCCAAAACCAATTTTTATTTATCTATTTATTTTGACACTGAATATATTGATATGGGCAAAATGACGTCAGTTATTGTTGTAAATTTCGGTATCGGTAAATTTTCGGTTTATCGCCCAGCCCTTGCAACAAGGCTTCAAAATACTTCACAAAACAAACGGACAACATCACTGCTGCTAAATCCAGTTATTACACAGTTGGTTGTTTTGCACCTAAACATCTCAAAGTACACTATATGATCGATTGTTCCCTTTGTGCATGTAGCTAAAGTTCTGGTGGTTACTGGTGGTCTCTTTCACCAGCAGAGGTGTACGCTCTCAGCTGTCCCACAGAAGTTGGAAACAGGTGTATTTTCATGATCCCTGCTCTTTAATAACTCTGACTTCACTGCAGTTAGAGGCTAATTTAGGAGAAAAACAACCTAATTACTCTCAAGTATACAAGTTTCTGCTCGACAGCATGTTTTTCCCCGTGCCTTCAGGCGAACTGGAGGGCCGCACAGTAACACAACCATGTGTTACATCATTACAGCACAAACGCAGCGATACCCCCCCTCCACGCTCGGCACACAGAAAAGCATGTGTACGCGGACACACACATTGACGGGTGTAACAAATAATAGCAGACATTAAAATGCAATCAGCTTCAACAACCCAGCGATAAAAAGTGCTCTTAAACTGTGGAGACGTTTTGTCAGAGAGGTCGAGGTTTTAGTGATTGAAGTTCCTGTTATTTGAGAAAAGTACACAAACATGAAGACCACAGAGGTCTGAAACAAGGTGGGCTGAAAGGTGATTTAATTCTTTGGCAGAAAAACAACTGCTGTTACAATTAATGCTTTCTTGATTACCAGAACTAATCTGCAGCCATTTCAATCATCAGACTTCTCTTTCATGAACAAATGTTGTTTGAGTTCAGTCGCTCCACGGTAAGAATGAGCTGCTTTTAACTTTTGATTTGGAAGTTTTGAATCGAGTGTTAGTTCAGGCAAACAAAGTCCAGCTTAATGCCAGCCCATATCAGCTCAGCAGTTTAACTTCTACACGTCTGGTTGGTAAATCTGAACCGCTTTAGCCTTCCTGCTTCATAACTGCTGCTCTACCTGACTCTGCTTTAATGAAGGTGAATAAGAGAGGAAGGAGATGACCTCTCCCTGCGATCAATCAGTCAGTCCATCTATCCATCTCATCCATCCATTCTTCCATCTTTCAATCCATTTTTCATCTTTCATCTTATTCATCCATCCATTCATCTTATTCATCCATACATTTATCCATCCATCCATATTACTCATCCATCCATCCAACAATCTTTCATCCCATCCATCCATCTATCCATCCATCCATCCAACAATCTTTCATCCCATCCATCCATCCATCCATCCATCCATCCATCTTTCAATCCATTTTTCATCTTATCCATCCATCCATTACCATCTTTCATCTTAGCCATCATCCATCCATCCAACAATCTTTCATCTCATTTCATCTCATCCATCCATCCATCCATCCATCTTTCATCTCATCCAAACATCTTTAAACTTATCCATCCTTCCATCAATCCATTCAACCATCTTTCTAGCCTTTTAGTCTTTCATCCATCCATTTCCAACCTTTAATCCATTTTCTTATCCATCCATCCATCCATCCATCCATCCATCTATCCATCCATCCATCCATCCATCCATTCCTTAAAACACTTCTTATTCAATTCAAATGTTATTTCGGATTCTCACAGTGTGTCCAAACTTTTGAATCAGTTGTGAAGAAAGTGAATGAAAACGTGTTCAAAAATAACTTTCCTAAAGAGTTTAAATAAAAAAATATACGAAGTAAACCAACCTTAAAGATAAACAGAAGCACTACAAAGCATTAAAGTATGAGTGGTCAAATAATAGAAGGTGAGGATTAAAATATAAATACAGCAGTTTTATCATCAAACTCAAGGCTCCAAAATGTCTGTAACCAACAGTTTTCCTTGTTTTATTTTAATTTTTTGTTGTTTGTTTTGCTTTTGTTAACATGGAGTATGAATAAAAGTTTTTGATTTTTTTTTCTCGATTTTTTATGTTTGGTTGTAAAAAAGGGCTATACAAATGAACTCTGATTGATTGATTGATTGATTATCTACCAGTAACAGGTGAGGGGTTATAGTTTGAACACTTTTGGTCTAAAAACATGTAAGTTTTAAATTTTAATGAGCCACCACTAACACTCTAAGTCTTATCTCTTCTCATAAATAACAACAAAACATAAGTTTGTAAAAGTTTAAACTAAATGATATAGTTCTAGCTTTAGTCATTGTCTCGTCTTTATCCATTTAAAATCATAATTTTCAGAAACCAAATTAATTCGCCTGTAATGTGGAGCTCAAAACTACAAGTTTGTCATAAAATGCACGTGCACAATAACATATTTTAACATATTTCTCTAAGAATCTGCACCAAAACAGAAACCATCACAGGTCTGACTGCACACGTGTTCATGATGAGGTGAGGTTCACAGCTTTTGTTAACAGGTACAGATTCTGGATCATTCTGGATTACAACAAACACGTTACTTACAATCAGCTAAAACCTAAAAACCAGCCGTATCCCACGTGCAGCAGCGAAGTCTTCCCGCGAGCTGCACAGATCTTGGTTAGGGCGAGCGAGTGGGCGGCTGGGAGCGAGAGAGGCAGCCCTGGTTTACGGGTCAAGCCTGCAGCTTTACAAGGGAAATCTCCAGAGCCACTATAAATACCACTGTGAGCTTTAAGGGTGCAGTATATCACACCACTGGGTTTGAAGGACCACAAACCGACCTAGTTTTTGTAGTTTTTTTTCTTTCTTTTTTTTGTAGTCTCTCCCCCCTTTTCTTTTTTTCTCAGCCGTACAGTCGCATGAGCCTGAATACAATTAAATGTGAATTTCCCCTCCTCCATTTCAAGTGACGCTTAATTGATTGGCACGACTTCAAAACCCGCCCCCTGTCTGAGACAAAGAGCCCGCCGTTCACCTCATGCGTCAGACTCGTATATCATTAGAGTACCTTAAAGTTTGAGGGTGGTTTTCTTTTTTCTCTCTCTTCTCTTCACTTCTGAGTAAAGGGTACAAATATGTCAAGAGCCTTTTCAAGTAAATTTGAGGTTTTTCAATGAGCCCCACCTGCGAGCGAGACGTTTATTCAGCTCAAAGTGACGTACTGCGACTTGAAATGAGGCCTAATGACTCGCTTCAGGAAAGGACTGCATTTAAGTTACAGCGCCGTCAAAGCGACACAGCCGTGCAGCACGCGCGGCGTAAATCAGGATCTCTTTGCTCTGAAGCTGATTGGATGTGCACTTAGTTTTAGACGCGGCTTTAAGCAAATCATAATTCATTCAGTTTGATTTAGTTTCACAGTGAGGAAGAGAAAAGGCTGGGAAAGCCTCGACTTGTCTTTGGAGCACCTGAGCGCGGCAGATGTGGAGTCAGAGCGCAATAAAAAAAAAAGCTGCGATTCAACGCTCACGTGCAAATCTCATCAGCCAGCTCTAGTTAGCAGCAGACGGCGCTAATTGGTTCCAGAAGTGTTGCTCTCGTTCACACCGGCTGGGACGGCGAGCGGCGAGAAAGAGCAAAAAGAGGGAGAAAGAGAGAAAAGAAAAAGGCGAGTAATGAGAGGTCAGCCGCCATCTACACTGGAGCTGCCAGAGCCAGAAAGGAACGCCAATTTTATGGTCAATTGGGCGACGCATCTGGACTTGTAGATCATAGGGCCGCAGGGGCTGGACTTAGCACCCAGCTCACACACAAACTAGACCACACAACACACACAGTAACTGCCAAACAGTCTCAACACACACACACACGAGGGACACATGATTGAGTTATATGAAGATCTCAGTATAAACGGCTCATTTTCAGCTTTAAGATCAGACAATTTTCCTGTAATAGGCAATTATTTCAGGACTGGAAGATTTCTGTTTCATTTTCTCAGCGCTGGCTTCACTAACTCAGACTCATTATCACATATCATTTAAACTATTCCACATAATTCTCTGTAATGCACGTCTAATTAACTTTTCACAGTTTATTGGAATTTTACTTGGTGATGCGGTAAAAGCACATGAAATCTACACACCGAGTTAATTCAGTATATTACACTCAGGGCCGCTACTGATATTTACTATCAGTGGTGTATCAGACCAATAATCAATACTTCAAAATTGATATGCACTGACAGTAAAAATGAAAAAACTTCCTGATAACTTTTCAAAACTTTAGCAAATGTTAAACCAAAATAAAAACATTCATATTCGTTCATATAAAAGCATTAATCTTATTGGCCGTATGTAAAATAAAAGGTTGACGCAGATAATCAGACAGATACCAAATATCGGCCCAATTATCAACAAAGTCTGATTACAGGTCTAGAGAGTCCAGACTCAGCCTCATCATTGGACCTCATTTAAACAATCTTAAACTAAAGGTAACAGAGAGTAACGGATGTGTCTGACTACTTTTTGCTAGTTATGCGGCGCACAGTCTGAGTACTACGTGAAGCACAGGACACATAGAGGAGGGTTTAGGTCCTCCGAATAATCAATGGTACGTTCTTGAGTGAATCAAAACAATCGGTGCGTCTGCCTTTGAGAGCTGAGACCACAATGTTGAGAGGATATAATACGAAGAGAACAGTACTGCAGTGATTAAGGAAATGAAAACTACAAATTTAACTCTATTATAGTTCTCAACTTTGTGTTAATGCATGTGCTCTCTATAAAAAAATCTATCAGCCTTGTCTTTCGTTAAAGGTTTCAGTGTCCTCTGCTGACTGAACCACCTCCCTCTACCTCAGTGAGTTCAATAAAACAAGTTGGTCAAGCTGTAGCGGTAACCCTCAACTTCTCTCTGCAGAATATAAACCGAGCCAAAGATTGTTTCCTTGAGTAGAAAGAATTAAACTTTTAGACTTTTTAGAGGAAACTGTTGTAAATCTTTTCTTTCTTAGAAGGAAAAAAAGAGGATTGAGTCTGTAATTCTAGTTCATATTAAAGCAGATTAAACTGGTGTTATTCAGATATGTTAGGTTTTATGTTTCTTTGTGTTAATCATATTAAAAGCTCCGGAGGATTTCTCTCTATAAGCCTGTTTATCCTCTTATATATGAAGTGTCTAAAGCTATAAATCTGTGCGTCTGTTAATGTTCACTTCAACCTGCTTAAGTTTGTTGATAGGATGTGATTTGGAGAGTATGACTGCAGATGTGAAAAGTTGAATATTACAGATAAATAATGGCAGGAAGATGTATTAAATTTGTGTTAAGAGAGGAGGTTAACAGACTTTAAAAGTCCGACTTTTTACACAACCAGACAAGGTAAAAAAAACAACAGACTGCACCAGGTTACAGAATCTATTAGTGATCATCTGACTGTGATATAGTCAGTCTTTCTTTGCAGTTTGCAGTTTTCACTCCAAGAGTGACTGTTAGCTGTAATTTTATGTATCTGGTAACATGCATGCACTAAATAGATTAATCACAGCTAAATCCTCTGTGTATGACCGTTGATGGTTTCTGAAGTTGCACTGTGTAGATTTCTTCCCTGTCTTTTGTTTTCGTCTCTTACTGTTTTCACACACCAGATACTGATACAAACCAAAAACCTGTTGATGAAAAATCGTGCACTTCAAATGAAAAACCTTCTGGCTCTTCTGATACCAAAAATCCAGTCCTCTGTCTACAGATTGTGCATTCTCATGCAGAAACTGTAAGTAGATCTGACCAGACGGCTCATGTGGGCAGCATGATTTGCCAATGAAGACACTCTCTCTGGTTCTGCTGCCTATTTTTTTAGTTTTCTTCTGAGTCGAACCGTTTCATCAGAGCACACTTCTGAATAAGTTAAATATTATTTTGGTTTTCCTTGTGATATCAGATCACACGGACTTGCTTACGACACGTCACGTCTTATTTCTATTTAAGGGCACCTATAATCCAGCTGACATTCAAAACTGTTATCAGGTTTGTGAACGATGAACTTTGCCAAATTTAAGATACACTGGCTTGCTAGTTGAATTATAATGTCACAGATTATAACCGCACCGTCACACCCTTAAGGTGGTCTTACCTCTGTGGGGACAGCCAGCGAAGACAGCAGGGGCGCCACGTAGCCGTACCTCTGCAACGTCACCATGATGACACAGCGTACTGTCTCCAGGATCGCAGCTGTCGGCCTGGAGAACAAAAGAAACTGTCTTTAGGGACTATAAGTGGAGATCTGAGGTCTATTAGGAGGTCATTTAAAGTGTTAAGGGTCACAAATATGAGCTTATACAGAGTCTAGAGCCTGGTTCAAATGAGAGATGTCACTTCAGTATCATGTGACACTTTTATATCAGTGATTTCTGGATTTTTTAAAGGGAGTACTATGAGTTTATTTACCTAATTTATCACCTTTTGATCAAACTCTTCTGCAGGAAAATTATATTTAATATAAAGTCAGAAAATCCTCACAATATAAACATAAATATTGCATTTTAAATAAGACTTAACAGTCAACTCAGGACAACTTTTGCAGCCTTGCAATAATAATAAGTGGTGATGTGCTGGTTGGCAGTAAGACCCGGCTCTTGAACTGTCTTTAATTTCAAAACTGATTCCTTGTTCTGTTGTTATTCAATACAAAGAAGAATAAAGGAACAACCTTCTTCCTCCACCACTCGACCTCAGGAACATCACACACTGACTGAAAGTGTAAATGTGAGTGGCGTGCAACCGATCAGATGCAGGTTGAACGGTAATGATGGTGTTCAGATGGTGCAAAATGTATGATTTAATGTGAAACATCCAAAAAATACAATTTTTTAACAATAACAGAATTAATATTACAAGCTGGTTTTATGCACATAATCTGGTGCTATGCAATGAAGAGCTGTTTAGGAGCCAGAAGAGGCGGCTCTCCTCATCTGGATCATTAAAATGAACCAGAATCCCTCACCAGAAGAACCAGGAGTAGTTCTTTATTTCTTCTTTTTGTTCATGTCTGCCATCTTGCAGAGTTCCATGCCCTAACTCAGGAACCGCTGGCATGCATAACTGAATCTTTCTTTTACCGTGTTAATTCTTCTTTAAATGTGCAAACGAGTCAACCAATCAGTCACGACTTGCACGAGTGTCAGCACTGTACCTCTGATCGATGATGTAGCCCAGAGAGGTGAGAGTGAGCAGGATGTAGAGGACCATTCCCAGGATGGTGAAGTGGGACAGTATCTAGGATTCAGAAAAAAAAAGAAACACATTTGCATGGAATAAGAAATGTGGTTGGGAAAAAATACATTACAACTTAAACCTTAAATTAATCTCATGGCTGGTTGAGTTACGATCACAGGAGAGCTTGCTGGGAGAGCAGACAGAAACCGCACGACTGTTGGGCTGTTGACTTGGCAGTGCCAACTAAAACATGTCTGACCTTCGGAGTAAGTGTACTGGCACATCCTGGAGAATTCAGCGCGATCGGCCTCTTACTTTTCACTGCCATGCCTGGTTTACGCTGATTCTCTAATCAGCCTGGATAGGTCTTGATGGGGGAGTCGACCACAGCAGACGAGAGAGAGCAGTTTGCAGCCCGTAAACGGAGCCAAAACAACCAGAAAATCTCTGCAGAAGTTCCATGCAGATTCTCGCTGACCTTTTCCGAGCTTTTTTGGACGCACGCACGAAACTGACAGAAGAACAGGACGTGATGTACGGCCTAATTTTCCTTCTCTAACCTACGGCCTTGGCTGAGGGCAGCAGCTGGAAGCATGGTGTCTCCTGAGGATGCTGCAGGCTGTCAGCTTAGGTTTAGATTTCTACGACACTCAATACTCGGCCCAACAGCCAAATTTCACTGACTGCTCCCATACTGGGCAGCCATATATAGTAAACATAAAATCAAGCCATCAACAGGATGCAATAAAACCTCATGTCTTTGTGTTTATCCAAGAGTCATAATCCATAAACCCCCATAAGAGCAGTATTATCCGAACCCCCACATGGGATCTGATATAATCATGTTTTCCGTGAATCAAACGTGGGATTTTTTGGCCTCGATCCATCCGTCAGAGTGAGTCAGACTAAACTGTCAGAGTAAATTAAAGCTGAATGATTATCGTGTTAAAGGTCAAAGGCTACAGGTAGAGTTATTTTTAGAGCGCGGTGTTATTACGGGGGAATTATTTTGGTATCAGAGGTTACGTGAATGTATCTGTGTGTTTAACCCAGGGGGCTAGAAACACCAGACCTGCTTAGTCACATGATCTTCTTCTTTGTTTAGTTATCTATCACCCCGGGCGCTACACATTCAGGAGAAAATCCCCCACAAATCCCCTGGTTTTTAGTCATCAGGTGGAGTCGAGTCTACACACGTGCTCTGTAATACAAAGGAAGGGGAAGTGTGCTGTGATTCTTTCATCAGGATAATATTTAACGTGAACAAACGTCAAACTGCAGTAATAACAGCTGAAGACAGGAATGAAAGTTAACATCTGGTGGCAGCAGACTGATCGTGTTATTCCGATTTCCCCTGAGATAAATCGGATTATTCAGGAGGTTATTGTAGACGTTTTTTTGGTGAAGCTCATGACAGCGTGTTTGAAAGAATCACCGCTAAGTAAATACACCAACGTATCAGTGCAGATATTTGTGTTAAATTACTCTAATAATTTATTTAACATATTAAAGCTCCAGAGAGGAACCTTTTGTTTGTGTTGAGTTTGGCGCCCCCTGTGGACAGAGTTATACCAGTTTTCCCATCATATTACGGGAGTCAATGGCTGCTTTATTCAGCTGTTAGCCTGTGCAGGGGTATGAGGATTTGCAATTAAACTCTACAAATAAAATAAATCTTTTCTCTGATTGGCTACTGGAAGCATACGCGTCATGTCTACGCCAATATTTTGGGTAGTTTGGATGTTACGATTAACTAGTTAAGATAGTAAAGAACTAAACAACGCCACAACTTAAGTTACAAACTAACAGATTTCAAGGTATGGTTTAGTGCAGATTTATTCTCTAACTAAGATGCAGCTTATATAGAGTGAGTGCAAGAGGCAACTCGATGCATTAAAAAAAAGTCTTATTAAAGTCTCAGTTTACGACCAACTTGGACCAAACAGTGTGCACCACAACTTTGCAAAACATGTTTGATTCAGAAGTTTAAAAATATTGGTAGAAAGAGGCTCAAAAAGAAAAAACATCAAATACTTTTAAAGATTAAAACAAAATTCAGAAGCATGAAGGTAAATCTAAATTCAAACCTCAAGTGTGGATTTCATTAAAGCTACTAGAGGGAGTTTTTTATGTTTATATAATGGACTGTAATTCATATATTTGCCTTTTCAGAATATCCAAAAGAAAACGAGGTTGTCGAGGATGAGAGTGATTATTTGTAAATCTTTATTATATTGCTTGTAACTGTTGGAAGTGTAACGGATATAAACGTGATCATTCAGTTTAAAAGGTTTAAAAAAATGTTAAAAACAGTATAAATTAAATAAGATTATGTGTTATGAACAGTCTAAATTCATCTTTAAAATATGTTAAATGTTAATTCATTTGGCTAAGGTAATTTCACTAAATGTAAGATTATATGTGTAATCGATTGGTTTTGTTGAACTTGGTTTGTTGTAAGACACCTCCGGTTTTAGCCAGTAGGGGGAGCACGTTGCTTCTGGCTGTTAGTTACATTATGAAAATGAAAGCCAGCAACATTTTGTGTGTCTTTCTTTCCCATCTCTCCCCTTATAGATAAATGCACAAAAACTTATAAAAAACTACATACATCAGTAGTGAGAGTTTATCCATTTTTTGTATAAGAGAAGCGAAAGCAGATACTAATATTTTACATGCAGTTACTCGCTGAAGTGTACAGTTAGAACATGGAGTTCATTACATTGTGGAATAAGAGCCAGTAACAGCGTGTATGTCTGTCTTTCCCATCTCTCCCCTTACAGCCAAGCAGCTAAAGAAACAGTATGTTTTTTTCTTTACCATTTCCACATAAGATATTCACCATAAATAACACAACTGACAGTCAAAAGTCAGCAGGATAAGATGAAATAAACAAAGACAGATTTGTCCACAGGGGGCGCCAAAGTTGACACAAACCCAAAGTTTCTCTTGGGAGCTTTTAAAGAAGAAAGAACGACCATTGTTTCATGTTATGGCTCAGATTTTATGACCCTACCCCCCTTTAAATCAGGACTCTCTTAGCAGCAGGTCTTTTAGTTTAAATATTGCAGTTATAAAAACACCGCTTGTCCATTTTAGTTGTGTTTAATTGAGATGTTACGAGGCGGTCATTTCCCCTCTGCCTCTAATAGTAACACTTCATCAGACCTATAATAAAAGGCACACGTTGGCCTGCTGATGATGTAATTGAAGAGTAGCCGGACTTGTTAGAAATAACCCTGTTTTTCGTGGCTTTGAATTAAAGTTGGAGCCATAAATTGTCCGGCAGTGTATCATCAATTGTCAAGCTAAATAAGCAGCTAGTGAACATGTGTGTATAAATACATAAGAGTGACATGATTTATTGTCAGGCCGGAGCGCTCACTTTGTTATTTTCCCTCCAAGTCCTGATTGCTGCATCCTGAAGGCTGTTTGGGTTGGGAAATGGTTGACTCGACAATTAAGGCGTTTGTGTTCACTGCTGGACCACCAGCTGGTGTTTCATTCGCAGGGAGGGTGGGGAAACCTCGACCCTGGATGGGAGGTGTGTGAGCCTGTATATGAGTGTGTGTTTGAGAAAGGGGTGGGGGGACCACAAGTGAAGGAACACCGTGGAGGTAGCCATCACAAGAAGACGGGACGTTTTATTTGAGAGTTTGAAGGGGCTGGGCGTGACAGGACTTTCTGGCTAACCAAAAGTATGTCTGGGGAAAAGAGGCTTCCAAAGATAACTGCCGAGGAGACCTGTTTCTTTTTTTTTCTAAAGGGAGGAGGAGGAAGGGGGTCTCTTGGCTCACCGAGTGGAAAATAATAGACAAAGGTTGCTCTAAAGGGGAACGTCGATCAGTCATTCTGTCATGATGTGAGACGGAGCTGCTCTTTTGCTGCACGATAAGTAGAGGACTCAGCCCGAGCACGGAGCACCCACAACAAACAAACTGTATAATCGGGTGGAAAAACTACGGCAAACAAACACGCAGATCTGAAAGCCTTAAATTATGGACTCAGGACCACCTTGGCATACTTTATATGAGAGATTACAATGGGTGTAAACATCACAGTAGCTTCACAAAAACAGGTTTTTTACCATCTTTAAATCTATAGTAAAGTCGGCAACATCAGGACAGAATAGAGAGTCCTTCCCTGTAAATATCTAACCCTTTATTACTTTAAATTATGATTACAAACACATGTGTCTTTTTGTCTCTGCAGTCTTTTTCAAATACATACCGCCTTGTTTTCAAACAGATCATGGTAAGTCCGCAGCACCAGCAGGAAATGGATGACAACATAAACTTGTTGAGGAAGAGACCAGCTGGGCTGATGAGGAATTTCCTTTCCAGTCACCTAAACATGAAAATAAAACGTAGTTATTCTCCTAAATCGCTATTGTTCCATGAACTATGTCTTTATCAGTCTCTTGACAATGAATATTTAACAGCACAGTGAGAGGAAACAATACTAATCAACACAATACGACATCAACCGACACAAATCACTTTACATAACACCCCCTCCAGTGCCCTCCGATCCTCAGAGGGAAATCTTCTCGCCCTCGGACCAAGCCCCGAACTTGGGGGGACACAGCCTTCCCCACCCTCTGGAATTCACTCCCCAAACCCATCCGAGACTGTTCAGACCCCCACACTTTTAAATCACTCTTAAAAACACACCTTTTTAAATTTTAACCTGTGAATCTGTTCTTTTATTGTCTTTTCTTTTTCTTTGTAAGGCGTCTTTGAGCACCTGTAAAAGTTATTATGATTATTATAATAGGATAGGATCCGATTTTAAAACAATGATCCAAACATGAGGGAGAAAGTGCATTAATAGTCTCAGCAACAAAACTGTCACAGTCCAAACGGCGTGTTTTTAATCTGCATGACGCCCAAACACATCTGGCTCTGCTGCTCGGGGAGTCAGAGGTCCACAGGGGGTGCCCATCTCTTCTAAAGATGCCCTCCTTGTTTTTGTATGTCATAATTACTCCTCTCCAGCTGTTATGTTTTGTTCAGAATTTATGAAGGGTTTAATGTTAGAGGTCTTTGTGAAGTCTAGCTATTGATTGATGATGTTACACCAGCATTTCTTGTAGATTTTTGTTGTTTCTTCTAACAAAAAGTGGAGATGGTTCCTGTTTTCTTTCGCACAAAATACAGTCGTTTAAAACCAAGTTTGTTGTGTTCCAGCGAAGAGTCCTCCAGGGTTTATTGGGTGTAGTGGTTTCCTCATAACACAGAGGAACATATGAGTCCTTCTGTAAGAATTCCCTGAGTCATTTGACCTGTTTTTGTGCTTCTTATTAATAAGTAATCAGGCCTCAGGGCTTCATGTTGAAACAGCATCCTTTTTGGGAGAAAAACTGGCCAATCACAGATGCCTGCGTCTCATTTAGGGGGTTTCCCAGGATCCCGAGCAACTGAATCACCACATATGGGTTCCCCCCTCAAATCCCATCCTCCAGTGCTGAAGGTATTTGCTCTGTAGTTTCTCACTTTGAGTCCTGTCTTCTCCTCGTTTCTCCTCCCTCACTAACAGAAATCAACAAGCTGACTTCGACTCGATTCACTCCAGGACTCCTCAGTTAGACTCGAGCTCCGGCTGCTTTTAAACCCCCCCCTACTGGGTTTAAGGAGCAGATTTCATTGTAAAGTCGAAGTGGAGTTATTTCTTCGTCTTTTTTTTTTTTAAGAGTGAAATACAAAGGAACTAAAAATGTGACACCATCAGCGTTCTTTCAAAGCTAACCAACTGGAGCCTGGGTTTCTTTCTGCACACACACACACATGCACATTCACACTTTAAATGTGCATGTGGTTTTCATCCCGCAGACGGCCTTTAAAGACGGTGAAAATGAACTTATTGTGTTCCCTCTACAAAGCTTTTATTTGATGTGGCAGTTCCTTGTAAAAGTTGCAGAAAATGTGAATCCTTCAATCAGGAATGCTCTGAGTCATTTAGGTCTGTGTTTCGCATGTCAGAGTGAAGGATAATGAACCCTGAGGGCGTCTTTGTGAGAATATGCCACTCCTTGTCATGTCTTTGATATATTTACTTCACTTGTACTTATTTTTATGTGTGTTTGTAACTCATATGTTGTATTTTTTTGTTATTTTTGAGTTAAAAACACAACTTCACTATGAAACTAGCTTTTATTTACTTCACCTGATCAACTTATTCTGATCTAAATCACGACAGGCCTTTATTTCTCTTTAGTGAGTTTGCATGTCTGTGACCTGTGTCTTGAAAACATGCAGCTTATTTTGAGAAGCCTGATTGGTGCACAGCTGCTACATAACTATTAACCAATCAGAGGAGACCACACGGCGACTCAGCCTAAAGGCCCATACAACAACGTCACTCAACGTACAGTGTTGAGATCAGCTCAGTTTTGTCCCTCTTACTTAAACAGCTGTTGTATTCTTCATGTTTGTTTACTTATTTTTGGTTATGATGACTTGACTAACTACCATATTGGCCCAAATATAAGACAAGGATGTTTTTTTCTCAAAATACTGTATATCTGAAAAACTTGGGTCGTCTTTTGTTCAGGGTTCAGTAATTAAAAGGATTGATGCTTAATTAACGACATGTTCCCACTGAGCAACAGGCGGCTATTAGTTTTTTTTTTAGACCTCATTTCAACCGTCTAGATTCTGTATATTTTTAGACAGAATTTAGCCGTTTCACTTTAACCCATTATTAGATAACTATTTATCTAAAAAGCAACTATGAGTTGCATAACAGATCTCCAAGTATTTAACCAAAATAATTGAATGAGCAATATAGAGTGTAGTAGCCCAGATTTAGACGTGGTCTAAATTTAGACGTCTAAAAAAACTCTCATTTTTAGACCTGTGGTAGCCTGATTTTAGACCAGTCGTCTAGGCTACATTTAGATGTCTATTAGACCTCTTTTACACCAAAAAATGCTCAGTGGGTAATTATTGTTTTCCTAATATAAGCTGTAAATCTAGAAGGACCTCCTGTAAAATCCACTAGCTTCGTGAGACCGACGGTTTCCAAGTGATGAACTCAGGGGCTGATATATGAAAAAGTCTTTGATTTCAATAGTATGATATCTGCTGTTAGCTGAATATGCTAGACAAACCTTTAATCTTTGTTTTGGTCTTTTGACCAATCAGAGTCTCTATCTTCAACCAGCTGACCTGTGCGCTTATTACAAATATCACAGTCCTTAAAAGGTGATGAATATTTTTTTTATTTAAGTGTCTGTTTCATTAATATTTTCAGTTAAATTTTGCTTTCATCTCTGTCTTGAGATTTGGGTTTGCTTTTCTTTTTCAGATAAAATCATGTACATTAGAGATTTTTGTTTTAAACCTTACAAATGCTTTACTGCCTGATGGTATCCCGGTCATACTGTTTCATCTGAGCCACCAGAGAGAGCAGTTTGTGGCGTTTAAAGAAACAGGTGCTTCTATTTACCGTAATGACTTTAATATAGGACACCCTTGATGTAAACTGACCCTCCTTTAAAGGCCAGTTTTGAGAAAAAGACTTTTTGATGACCAAATCTAGTCTGGCCTCAGTTATAAGGGTCGTACTCGATTTACAGATAAGTGGTACTGACACTGAACTAAACCCCAGTTTCACAACTATCCCACTTCTTCAGAGGTAAAAAGGACTCCAGGATTGACTTGTATATGAAGCTTCACATGATCGTATCTTTTCTAGACATTTATTTTATACTAACCGGAGGATTGTCCACGTGGTCCCCGAGCCGACCTTTACCAGGTTGCCAACTTGGTCCATTGAGGAACGTTGACACTTTATCAGCCAAAGTCGTGTAGGTTTGAGATCTTCCCCACAAATAGAAGAAGTAGTGCAACTAAAAGAGAGAAGAATAAAAACATATATAAATTAAACATTAACAGACAAGAGAGAAGCTGTGTTAACTAACTTTAGCAGAACATCACTCAGGCCTCATTCTACAAAAAGTGAAGGCAGCAAAAACAATCACAACACCCGCCTCCTGGTGTTTCACTTCCCCGGCCTCCGTCACCTCTGTCAGGCAGTTTGTTTGGAGTAAAGTAATAATGTTTTGGTGGCTCAGGCAGAGGGGGAAACACGAGCCCAGACTTCATCTGCTGAAGGTGTTTCTGCTCAGACGGGCGGTGTCGAGCCGCTCGGTGGTAGACACATCACTGATGGGAGATAAGACTCACCTGAACGTAGAGGATTTCAAAGGTGTTGATGGGGAACACCAGGCCGAAGACCACTTTTTCTTTCTCCTCAGCAAAGGTGCCTGAGGATGACACAGACTGTTTGAGAACTTTTTATTGGTAATCGAAAAAGTTTTTAAATCATTTGATATCAGTTTTACCTTCTGCGTGATTAAAAAATAGACATATATGATGATGATTTTGAACAGCTGTGTGCGCCCTAACCCTGTATGAATGCTGATATTTAGGTTGGCTGGAGTCTTTGTAAAACATAAACATATGTATAATATGAATACCATAGAGCTCTCGGTGTTTGACCGTCAGTAATAACAGCATAAATAAATACTTGTCCTCCTAGAGAAGATTTGTTTGACACTCTTTCTCTCTCTGTTTGCTGCTCTGTAGACAGTCTGTGTAATAACTGCCACTGAAACCTTTTTCACACACCACAGACTTCATTGTTTCACTGACGGTCATTTATTTTGTTTTACTTATTTATTATTTTGGTTGCAGTAGATCGCACGTTTCATGGTTTAGTTTGGTTTAAGATTCTATGACTGAATAATTTATGTTTCTATAAGTAAATAGCAAAGCTGTATGTTTTATTTTCTCATTTATAAACATCTGCATGGGGGATTTGGAAAACATTATTATATGTTCTGTACAGGCCGCCAGTGTTTTCTGTTTTTTTGGGAATCTGGGCAGAAAAATGCAGTTATTTTCTGATATTCTAACTCTAACTCTGAAGCCCCTCCCACCCCTGATTAACTCACTCAGAGCATGCAGGGGGCGGGGCTTACGTAGATGGGCATCTTTCTCATGCTTGTATCAGTTTGTGCTTCAGGAAACAGGAGAAGCACTAGGTTCACCTGCAATCATTAATCCTTCGCTGCTTCAAAATTGTCTTCCATAATTTCTTCAATACGACAAATTCACATATCGCAAATTGTCCAATTGTGTTTTTCTAGTCAGCACCAGAAAGTTCAGATATTGGAATCTGCTGATTGCAAATCAACATTCACACTCTCTGAATTTAAAATAATACGTGCTTACCAAACAGTCGGTCCCATATGATCAGAATTCCTCCATAGTTCTTGTCGATGCAGTAAAGGTTCCTCCCTGCAGACATGAGTTTAGTCAGCTGACATATTTGAACTAAGTTAGTTTATTTAACACCAAGAGGATGTTCAGTCAGTCGTGCACAAACTCTTAAGTGGCCATAGAAAACAACTCCATGTCTGGAATACCTAAAACCTGAAATGATCAGGACTCTCTCTCTCCATCCAGCTCTTGATGTTGGTTTATGTTGTTTATGTTGTGTGTCGTCAGGATTAGAGTGCGCAGTGCAGCTCTTTGCAGCAGAGCATGGAGATGCACACAGCTCATTTTAACCACAGTAAAACTCAAAACTGGAGCAAACTGTGCAGAGCTGCAGAATTTTGCAGGTGTTTTTGCACTTGGATATCATCATTGCTACTAGCTTTTTGGAATAGACCTCAAGACAGAGCAAAGAGCGGGAGCAAATCGTGCAGTTTTTAGTGCTACAAGCAGACGTAATCAATCTGAAAGAATTAGACTCAGAGCTTCTTCTCACCGTGATGAACTCTGTGATGTTTTGGGGTGTTGAAGATCCACTCCAGAGGTCCAAGATCTTTGATCATCTGAAACCAAGATGGAAAAAAAAGTTGTTGAAACAAAATTAATGAGCAAAAATATTAAGTGGACACATCTGAAGAAGCTTTTCATTTACAGAAAACCTAAGTTTGAGGGTTACCTTGATCATTGGGCCACTGGACCATAATTCAAATCAAGCAACATGCCATATTAAATATTCAAAAATGAGACTTTGAGGCTGTAAATTTGTTAAAATAAAAATGAAAAGGGAGAAAGAAATAGGGTCTTTTCTCATAGACTTGTATACAATGAGTCTTCTCATGTCACTCATAGAGTTTCCCCACCTGAAAGTTAAAGTAACGACTTTGACGTCTTTAAAACCCGCTGACTGGACAGAAAAACAAAGTTTCTTCCTGATATCGAAAGGATTCATTATGAGACTCTGAAGTTATCAGGTGACAAAGGTTTTCATTTCCATTTTCACATTTTTCTTAATGTTGCTGTTCTCGTTGGTTTCCTTTTTTGTTTTAGAAGCTCGCTCAAGATTAAATGATGAAGCGAACAGTTTTCAGTAAGTCTGTTAATCGAGCAGCTTTTTACAGACTGTTAACACAGCAACCACTGAGGCTGAGAAAACAGCACAAAAGACAGAGATGTTATATTTAATAAAAACCTTTTAGTTCAAGGCCACAAATGCATCTTGAGAACATTTTCCCCAAAGAGCACTCAGACTCGCACCATTTTCTCTTCTTAAATATAAAGCAGATCCGTAAGAGCGCCTTTACAGATTACAGATTATATTTCCCAGGGTTCATGTTTCTCTTTCTAACACCAAACCTGTGATATCTCTGATGTTTCACATTACTACAGCAGACCTCTCCGTCTGCAGAAATGTGCGCCGCTGGTCAGAATCTCTCCGTGATTCATTATTTCCATGTAATGGCTGCGTCTGGCAGTCGAGCGTGAGAGTTTCATCCTGAATGAAAAGGGTCTCCACCACTTCACTCTCGGGCTCGGCCGCGGCGAACAGGGTGCCAATAAATTACGTGACTTAAAAAAAGAAACGGTCATAAAGGAGGCATAAATTACATCCGCTCAGAGAATGGTGACTATTACGACTGTTTTCACTAATAGTGCACTTAAAGATGGAAGGCGTCTCAAATCCATTCATTCCCTCTGAAGACTGTAAAAGTGATACTCCCAGTCGCTTTAAAGGCAGAGTGGTCATGCTTCTGTTTGGAATATTTCATAAAATCTCATTATTTTTTATTGAACACAGGTTCCACCGCAGCACAGCGTCCACAAAGTCCGCTCTTAGCAGACGGATTAGTATCAGCACAGGGACTATGATCACTTTATTCGGTCGGATCACGGTTTTTAAGAGAGCGCAGCTAAATTTTACGGTGTTTTGAAGTGTTTACCTCAGTGTGGATCCAGAACTGGTACAGGAGGTTCAGCTGGATGTGGACGGCGAAGATGGAGGGGGGAGCGACCAGAGCCAGAGGCACGTAGAAAATCTGAGGAGAGAGCAGGACGCTTTTACTTTCCTGGTTTGAAAACTTTAGTGAATCTGTTCATATCAAAGTGCTTTTAATATGCGTCATAAAAAGGGACACATCAAGTTTTTTCAACAGTCTGAACATGTTCGCTAACCGCTAACTTTCTGGCGTTTGCAGACAGGTGGAAAAGTAGACATCTGAGAAGGAGAAGTCCAAATAGAAACAAAATGGGAAAGTCTAATCCAAAAGTTAGCATTGGTGGTAGAGATGTTATGATACCAATTTTTCCCTCCCAATACCGATTCCGATACTTGTGCTGTGGGTATCGGCCGATACCAAGTACCGATTGTGCTCATTAGCGTGACGCGTCTTCAGGCGTTTAATTAAGTTGCTGGTGTTGAAAGTAGCAACACTCCTGCCACCCCTCGAAATATTTTCTTGGCATATGTTGCATGTCGCAGTCTTACTGGTGGAAGCATCCAGCATGAAATACTGCAACACGACATGATGCTAACGCTAATTAGCTGCTACTTAGCTTAGCCTTCTTAACTGTGTCAACAGGCTCCATGATCCATGCCATTTTAATCGGCGAAGAAGAACTGTGTCAGAGCTGACGGAGCTAACCTGTAAATAAATTACTAATTCAATAAATCACGTTACTGGATCGGTGCCTGGACTCCAGTACTCGTCGCTACCAATGCCAGCATTTTGGGGAAAATCTGAGTAATTTTTAATACTGGAATTGGAATCGGAACAACTCTTATAAATGTTTGAATGTAGCAGTCCATAATATGTAATTAGATGATTAAAGGGATTTTTTAGGCTTACTATTCCAACAGGATATTTTCATCTAATGAAAACTATCAATAAAGGCTGCTTCAGTTACTTATTAACAAGGCTAGACTAAGTGGTGGTATGCTGAGTAAAAAAATAAAATGGCAACGTGCTGAAAGACAGAGAGAGTAAATACAGCATCACTTTTGTGTTTTTCACTGTTCCAGGAGAAGCTAACACAATTTTTAACTCAGTTGAAAAGTTGTCAATGCAGCAAAGATGTTTTGACAATTTTCTGGGTTACAATCAAGAAAACAGCAAGTGTTGAGATGCAGATCAGAAAGGTGTTTAAAAACTGTTTACCAGAGAAAACCAAAAAACTCATATGATGCGTCCACGTTTGAAAACTTTACAAATTTAAGATTTTCAAGAAAAAGTATTAAATTATGTGAGTGTAGAACATAAAAACAGTGTCTGATTCATTGGATTTGTATTTTCAGTTTTCAACAGTTCCTTTGGCTCATAGGTATTACTGACAGGTCCAGATTTTCCTCTTAATTGTTGGTAATTCTGCTAATTTTCTTGCTTTGTTTCATGATGGCACAATGCATCTCTTAATTTCTAGGTTTTCTGGACCACATGAGATCCCGCCCTCACAAGACCAAGGAACCGAAATCCAAAAACCGGCTTTGTGATCCAGTTTTCTACCAAACAACAGAAAGAATAAACGGACTGTTTGTTTTGGACTTAATTTAGCTGATGATTTGGCAAACTATTCCCGGCAGCAGGTCGTTAAATGACCGAGTAAATGTGGGATTGGCGCGAGATAAACCGTTTTAATTGGGAGAAATGTTGGATGATGGGTTTACTGGTGTGATTTTAACAGCTTTTTGGGCAAAGAAAAGTCATTAATCCTGAGGAGGGTGAGGAGGCTCAGCGGTTTATTAGAAAGCGGTATCTTACCCATGAAGTGAACTGCTGTGTGAGGGACTGTCTGAGCGCCGTGGTGAGGTTGTAGTGCTCTGAACTGTGGTGAACCTGGTGAGCGGCCCAGATGAAGGACACCTCTGTGAAGAGAAAACACACACACACAGATTCAGCTCATACTGATGCCAGAGAGTCCAAATCTCAGAGGAGCCGATCAGGTTCTCCACCTGCTCATTAATGTCCTCCAGCAGCCATGCAACTTTCATGAGATTCACACCCGGGCCTTGAACCCTCGCGCACACTCGGCTGTCTTTAGCGGTGATTTATCTCAAAAATCAACCTGAGTCCTCCCAAGATAAGAAACCAGATACTTTTACACCCAGAAGGAGTCGATCCGGCCTCGCTCCTGGACGGCCGTGATGAAAAGCTGAGCCTTGAGTTTAGCCGGCCATCCAGTTTGGGGAGGTGGGTTCAGGTTATTATGACTGAGGGGGTCCTGGGCTGCAGCTGGTTAGCGTCCAGCTTGGTGTCCCAGCGCTCTAGTTTACATTCCTCCGCTGTGTTGTGATACTTGCTACATTAATATCTGTGTTACACTTCATTTTTACATCCAAAGGGAACATGCTTGTTAAGTTTCACTGGATCTCCGGGCCGCTTTCCGGACCACCCCGTCTGGTCTGTGCTTTTTGGCACCTCTCGTCCACTTTGGCTTCTGCAGCCGTACAACAGAGAACAGTAACCTTCAAATATCGCCGAACCACAAAGCCCGTATAGACCATGTAGAGTGACATGTATTATTTACGATAAAAGGGAGCTGGAGTTATTGAAAGAGGGGTCGAGTTTTATGAGGCGGCCTTGATGTGTGATTGAGGGATCAATTATCAAACAATTAAAGTCGAGTTAAAACTATAAAATGAATGCGGTCGTATTTAGGTGTTTGAGAGGCTGTAATATAAGGACTCAGAGAAGGAGTTTTACTTCCAATATAGACACAAATCCAGATTTTTGGCTTGATGCTTTTTTAAGTTTATCCAAACATCTTTACTGGTCACATCAGTCCAAATATCTTCCCATATAAAATAAGTAGTTTCACATATTTGGGCAGAAGCTTGTTTGCACTCTGGCATGACAAATATATCAGGGCTGCACAATATCAGAAAGAGGATGTTATTTAATAATCTTTTATTCTAAAATAAATATTGAGATATGAACAAACACAGGTATTTATTAGGGGTGGGAGAAAAAATCAATTCACATAAGTATCGGAATTTTTTGTTGTATAATTTTTAAATCGATTTTTATTTTCAAAAATTGTTTTTTTTTACCTAAATTTAAGAATAAATCTTAAAAACTGACTTACATGTGATTTGTATTTTTGGGGAAATATGGTTCTTGGAATAGTCAGCAGACAATCATAATCATTCAACTGTTTCTCTGGTGTAAAAAATGCAAACTATAGATCGAGAAAATCGGCAATATCGTAGAATCATGATTTATATATTTATACCAGATAATTGCCCTCATTAGGGCTGTCAGTGTTGAGGCGCCAATCGCCAATGAATGTGACCCTAAATAGATGTATTCATTTCTTTTTCTCATGCCTTTTTGTCCCTTTTGGAACACCGTAGTTTAACTAACACTCCTGCTGCCATTACTGTTCTCTTAAAAGCTCCCAGACTGCTCAGCTGTCAAGTTTGGGTTACAACCTATGAGTAAAGCGTACAGGTGAAGCGAGTCAGACTGATGCAAACGCTTTACAAAAGCCAGCAGAGCATTGTTGTTTAATTCTGACCCCTGGTTGGCATGTTGCAAATACGTATGCCTTCTATGATATTTTCATGCATGAAGGATCTGTATATGGAAAAAGTAACCAAATTGGAACTCCTGAAGAGTGCAAATGCAGGTAAAATCCTCTTTCATAAACGAGATAGTGAACTTTATAAGCACTGGAGACTGATTCTGCAACCTTAAGATGACTCACTCTGTCCTTGTTACTGGACCATCATCTGAATGTTGTTTTTTTTCAGCTATATTTACTAAAAAGTGATTCCCCGAACCCTAACCTTCCTCCACCATACCGCAAAAAACAAAAATGCACATTTTCAGAGATGCTAAACTATCCTTTACCTCCAAATGTAAGCAGAATAAAGCAGTTTTAATGCACAAAAGGAGGTCTTCTTTGCAGTGATTACTTAGAGAGTGAGTGAATTGTGAGCGGGTGCATGCAGCAGAGGAAGCAGAAGGTGCAGAGTGAAGGAAAAGAAACCAACACGTGTGTGCATGAGTTAATCGCAGCACCAATGAATAGACTTCAGTACCAGACGCTGTGAGTGTGCATTCTTGAACACCGTGAGCTGTCAGGTCTGAGTTTAGTTCCTCTCCTCTCCTCTACCCTCTGAGCAATGTTGAGTAGTTTATGCCAGTTAAATTTCTCCAGTCTGTTGCAATCCCAAAACACAAGGATGCCTTAAAGCTCCAGTGAGGAAACCTGTAGGAGGGGGTAGGTGTCAGCCAAGCAGCTGAAGAAACAGCCCTGTTTTTACCACAATCTCTACATAAAATATTCACAGTAGATTATCTGTGGGGCCGCTGGAAAGACTCCAGAGCAATTAAAGCAGATAGTATCCTGAGGAGCGCCGCGTGTTAAGAGCAATTCTGCAGCAAAATCACTCAAAAGACCCATCAGTTGTAAAACCAAACGGGTTGAGGGTCTGTTACACCTGAACAAATACACAGCAGAGACCTGAGGGTGAGCGCAACAAGAGCAGCAGATCACCACGGCCTGTCCAGACTTGTTTCCTCTGAGTGAAGCTGAAGAGGAATCCCTGAAGTGTGCAGGGAAACCCCAAAAAGCTCAGCGTAAGCGTGCTCCTGAACAACACTCTGCACCTCGGTTATTTAACAAGGATATTGCTGAGTTTCTGCAGGTGTTGGAGACAAACTGTCAGAGGTTTTTTTTTCAGGAGTGTCACGTTAAATGTCCGATGGCATTTGTCGAATTGAGTTTAACGAGAATAGATTTTATTTCCAGCTTTATTTGCCCTCCAAAGGCAAACGGTGAGGGGGGAGAAGAAGACTTATGGCATCGACGGCAGTTAAACAGAAAAATTATGACATCTCTTCCTCTCTGAACCGCGGGGGATACAGAGATGAACAGTCCCGCTAAGAGACATATTCAGAGGATAATCCAGCCTTTGTTTAATTCCAGCAGCCCCGAGTCGTTTCCCTTTTTTCGCTCCTCGCTGGAATGGCGCTTGGCAGGGTCCAGGACTGAGGGAGGCCAAGATTGATGCCGCTTGTCACTGATAGGAAGTAAGAACGGCTAGGCTTCACTGCAAGCCCATGTCCTCATCTCTGCACTCGGCGGGACGCTGCATAGTTTGGCAGGGCCTATTCAGGAGGGAAACCCCGTTAATGGTGAGAACCAATGCCACAGAGTCCGCGTTCCCATCCAGAGCGGGGAAATGCTGAGGACGGCACTTCCATCAGGCCTCCAGCGAGCCTCAACTCACGCTTTCTCAGGAATAACAAGGATGAGTGCTCGCTAATCAGGTGACGGACATTTATACGGCTGCTTTTACGAGGTTTTTCTCACTACGACATGACAGCATTATTTGTTTGTTTAAAACCTAAAACTCTGTTTACATAAATGAAAGTCCACCTACTGAGAGAGTTATTGTTATTGGACAAGAATGATGTAGAAACACAACTCTGTAGGATCACTTTCTAAAGACGCTGGTATTGGACGACTCACTTAAATCCCTCTTTTTTTTTTTTTTTGGCGGAGGCGAGCTAACCTGCAAGTAATGAGAGAACGAAGAGGAGAATCACATTTTAGGTAAATATTTTGCTTTTTTTATGTCATTTTTTTGTAAAATTTTGTTAAAGGGTTGTTGCCGGGAGTCAAATTAGCGACCCCTGCAACAAGTTAGCCTCAGTACGCTAAAGGTGCATTTAAACCCTAATGTCAACAGCGCCTGAATAAGTTGCTTTTCTAATATGAACACTAAAACATTTCAAGCCATTACCTTGCCTACTTTGTTTACATTTGACTAGTTTTATAATAATTGTTGATATTCAAGCTACTTTCCGAGGCAAAATAAAAGGAAATTCAGTTTCTTTGTGATGCTAACTAGCATGACTCAGCATTTTGTTATTTAGCCAGATCTAGAGTGTTAGCTTATTTTTTGTTCAGGGTTCCTACACATACTTTTCCATACCCTACTTATTAGAATTCTTTTTGGAAATACCTATTTTTCTATTTTAGAAAACAGTATTTTAGAAATGTGGTAATAGTCTGGAAACATAGATATTTTTCCATTCAATATTTTTCATTTTTCATACTTTTTAAGACCTGGAAATTTATCAAATTATTTAAATATTTTTCCATACTTCTGTAGGAACTCTGTTTGTTGGGATTAGGAATATGCTGCAAGACTTGTAGCAGCATTTGTCACAAACTAGCTCACAATACTGGTTCTACAAAGGTTGGATACTCACATTTTGATGGTTAAATAACCACTTAAAGCCTCTAGGCGACTTTGAATAGAGTATAGACAACATGTAAAATGTTGAAACTGGACATTTTGATTGTTTCATAAGAATAAATATATAGAGTTTAAATTTGATATTGGTGACGTCCTTCGGAAAAGTTGGGACAGGGACAATAAAACTCGGAAAAACTTGTATAATGCAGTAAGAACACCTAAAAGAACATATCTGAAATAATGAGGTTAATTTTCAACATGTTAGTAACATGACTGAGAATAAAAATGGCATAAATAAAGAGAGGTTGAGTCTCAAGGAGCAAAGGTGGACAAAGTCTGTCCACTCTGTGAGAGACTGTGTGAGCAAATAGTTCAACAGTTTCAGAGTAAAGTTCCAGAGTGTAAAACTGCAAGAAATGTGGGGATTATATCATCTACGGTTTATAGTTTTATATCATTAGAAATCTCTGCACAAAGGAGATGACGTCAAAAACCAATAAAAGATGGTCAGGATTTCTGAAGCAGAAATGACTCTGTGGTGGAAGTCACTGCATGAGCTAAGAAAAATCACATCTAAAGCTATTGCCTGTGAAAACAGTTTGTAATTGTCTTCATGAAAGGAAATTATACTGCCTATCCGATTTTTTCTTTATTTGTAAGATTAATTGGGGTTGTTCAGGGAACTCAAAGCTTTATTCTTGGTGAATAGTGAGTAATTTGGTGATAAAACTGACTGGCTTGATCCCAAAGAGCTGCTTTAATAGAGTAAGCTGGTTAGCATGCAAGGTTTTTCTGTTTATTATGCAAAACACAACACCACACCTCTTTGAAACCCTCAAATTAAGAGACACGTGGAGGCTTATTCAGCCAAGATGATGAACTCCACATACAGAGAGTACAGGCCATGTTTTCTGAGAGGATAAGTGCAATTAAACAACATTCACATCAACTATTCCCTTGAAAAAAGTGAGGACAAATTAGGGAGTGATTTGGCTAAACTGTTATGTAAAGATGCTGCATTTTACTCCAGTCTGTGGCCCGTGTGAAAGCATGAAAATACAGCTTAAAACGCTCTGTCATGACCCAGTTTATAATGTCACATTACCTTCAATATCCTCCTCTAATGACCCCGCATCTACGACCTGAACTCCATGCTGTGAGACGAGCTCTAACAGCAACAAGGTGATGTAATCTTTCACTTTCAGGTTACAGTTGAATTATATCACGACACATAATCAGGGCCTATAAGTCATAATCAGTCATGTAATGTGACTGAGCTCGGCTTTAACAGTCTGTTTACATCCACTTCAAGCCTGTCAGGAGAGTGCTTACATAACCAGAGTCATATAAACCCAAGAACCAAAGTCCTACCGAGCTCCATAAATTCACTCGAGTACGAGCTCGCTGTAAGGGCCGATAGTTATCAAAGAGTCGCCTGATCAGTTTACCATAAAAAGAAAGTAGGAGCGGTGAAAAAGAAACATAGTCGGCATTAAAGGAGATCTCAACTGACTCTTTAAAACAACCAGAACTGTATGAAACCGTTTCATCAATCTGCTGCCTGATCATCACCCTCAGCGACAAAATCCTGGCACAAACAAAAACCCCGAGCAGAACCTCTGAGTGGTGGGCCGACCTGTCAATCACAGGGGTAATGGCGTGTGAACGGCCCTCCAGTGTTTGGATTGGCGGGCTCTTGGATGGGATGCCAACCCAAACAGTGAGCAGTGGACTCAGTGGGACGGTGGGCCGACTCCCCTCCGCTGCTGCCATACTTCATGCTGTCCACACAGCTCAGTCACACACTCTAAACCAAACACACTCACCCCGGTCAGGCCCACTTACAGCTCCCACAAACACCAGTAAAAACTAAGTATAGATCGCAAAGCGTGATGGAAAGTGGCTTTTTCTTTCAGACTTCATTATATTGACACTCTGTTTGGATTAATCATGATCCCATCTCTGCTGACCATCACACACTGATATCCAGAGCTGTAGATCTATGAGACGTCTTAAAAGGTACAGTCTGTAGTATTTAGGGGCATCTAGCAGATCAGAGCAGGCAAAAATTGAAGTTTTTATCCATAACTATTAGGGATGCAAGATCAAATATTTGGATCGAATATCAGCTCCGATATTGACAAATTAACTGGATCGGATACCTGATGAATGACGCCGATCCAGCGTTCCGATCCATATCATACACAGCAACACAGCCATTCTGTTCACTCTCTATTCTATGTCTTTCTATCCTTTTGCACTAAATGTTTACGTGGAAATCTTGCTTCTTTTTGCTCTGTGTTAATGTGCAATTTGTTATTCTTAATAAATAATATATGGTAAATTTATATCTGTGTTAATTTGTTACCTTTTTTTGTCAAGCCTGATGCCTTCAGTCACAGGGCAAAGTATACAGTTCACTCATTCAACAGTAGTACTGGATCAGTATCAGATATCGGCCGATGTCTAAATTAATAGGTGTTTGTACAAATGTAAGGTACATGAGTCACCACCACTGATCATCATCCATCTTTACACCTCATCCGTCCAATCAGTTGAGTTTTGTCATTTGCAGAGTCAGCAGTGGAAACCTCCTCGTCCATCAACACTTTGACAGAGGGGAAGTTACTCCATACAGTGAGAGGGGCACACGAGGGCAGCAGACAGCCGGACTTTGGCCTCTGCCGACCCTCCTCATGATCTGTACATGCTCTTCTTTCTCTACGCTCTGTACACTCTGTACGCACAGACCCCGCGGACATTAAACCTCTGTTGAGTCTAGCTTCAATCCCTCTCTCTTTCATCGCACACTCAGCAGACAGAGAGTGAAAGCATGGTGACCTGTAGATCACTGTTGATGTTATCTCTTCTTCCCATGAGGCCTCTCTCGCTCTGTTTTGCTGCCGAGAGCGAGACCCCTCTACATCCTGGCCAAACCACACCGACATAACCAAGAGGGGGACCCGGATTCTTTAGTCAGCCCTGCACCCTGCACCAGGCCAGGAACCTGCCGTCACTGTAAAGATTTATGGAGCCTGGGGGGCAGGTTAATCCCCCCCCAACCCCTCCACTCTGCCACACAGACAAGAGCAGCTCCTCTTAAAACAATAACATCCACATCAGCTGGGTGTCCTCGGGGACGGAGGACAAGCGAAGTGCTGAGCACATCTGTTTGTCTGAACAACCGCTGCTGTCTGCAGAGCAGGAGGAGGCGTGCGGACACGGCAGCGAATAAAGAGAGGAAGAAGTGAGGTGTGAGAAAAGTATGATACAGAGATGAGGCTGTGAGACAGACTGAGACAAAACACAAGACTCACAATACCCTATGATAAGTTATGATATAATATGATATTTAACAAAACATGATAGAAATGATGATATATGATATATGATATGATATGATATGATAAGTGTAATATTATATGAAATACAACAAAGTCTGATATATGATAAGATATAATATGATACATTACAAAACATGATAAAAAAATGATGATATATGATATGAGAGAATATGATACATGATATATGTATGATATGAAATGATATGATAAGAGTGTCATATGATATATGACAAATTATGATGAATGACAGGATATGATATGATATATGTGTGACATATGATATGATATGTGTTATATGATACAAGACAAAATATGATATATGATATGCTACTATATGATATGGTATATTGGATATATTATGATATGATATATGTATAATATGAAATATATGATATATATTGTATGATATATAACAAAATCTGGTATATGATAAGATATGACATGTAACAAAAAATGATATAGAATAGTATGATTTATGATATGATATGATAGGATATGATACATGATACAGATATGATATGATATGATATGACATGATATGACATGTGTGTGATAAGATAGATGACAAAATATGATAGATGATACGACATGGTATATGTGTGATATGATATGATATGATATATGATCTGATATGATATGATAAATGAAAAAATATGATGCAAAATGTTATGATAGGATAATTTATGAGATATGATATGATATATGATTCGATAGGATTTTTGTATCATATGATATTAGATATAATTTTTAGGATGTGAATCATATGACGTGACATGGACATCATGTGTTTTGTACACAAACATGTGTTTTGTTTTTTTAGTCCACTTTCCTATGTCTAAAGTTATCTTGATGTCTTGATCCAGAATAGAAAGAGATGGATTTCCAAATCTGGATCCTTCTTGTCCAGTTTAAACCCTCTGACCAAGCGGGCCCTGGTACCATGAGTGTGAGCAGGCATCCGAGAGAAAGCGACTGCTATCAACTTTAACTGTTATGTTTCCAAACCCTGACAGATAAATCCTCTAAATTCCGCTGTTCAGGATTTCTCTGATGTGTCTGAGCTAAAAGTGTAACCCGGCACGGTCAGTGTGGCGAGACAGATGCTGCGTGACTCCATTACCTCACATATAATCAGCGTTCGGACAGCTGACTGACTGATTAGTGGCCTCTGCCTGGATATAGATGCTGCCTGAGAGCAGAGCTGCTATTAGTGGTGTTTGCGATACGAGGTTAGAATAAACAAAATCAACAGGCCTGTCAACAACATGGCCGCATCTGAACTAAGTTATCCTATAGCTCCCCTAAAGGCTTCTGCTTCCAGGCGGGTTCAGATTGTAGAAGGTTTGAACAAATATAGTCTGTCTGACTGAGGAGAAGTTTTGGATAAATGGAGTTTGTTTTTGATTCTGGTCTAACTTCAGGTTAATGAACCCAGCGGTTTAAATAAGGTGAGTTCTGCTGCTGTTAATACATAAACCACTATAGCAGGGTTTGTTATTTAACATCTTAGGGGAGGATGTTGTTTTTACTCTGACTTGGTTTTAAATTTAGATTTACCATTTCAGTTAAAGTCCAGGTCATCAAGAGACATTCCTGCTTTTCTTCAAGTGAAAGTACTTTTTTATTCCTCTGAAATAGCTGCCTTTGGACATAGATTGTTAACTTTGTCTTATTTAACTGATGACTTACATGTGCAATGATTTCAAACATTTTACATGTAGTTTATTTTAACTATTTGTAGTGTTTCCATCTGTTCATTTCTCTCTAAAGCTGTGGTGAAAGATGAAATATGAGTAAAGTTGAGTTAAGGTAAAGCCAAACATATTCTATCAATATTTAAACCTCTACAAAGTTGGACTTTTACCTCTTCAGACCAAAAAATAAACAAAATGAAACTTTTTATGGATATAACTGTATTAATTTATCACTTTCGATTGTTTTTCTACTATTTTTTAATATATTTCTCACATTTTTTCTTTTGTCCTCAACTTAGTGCTTCATTTAAGTTCTTGCTCTTATGAGAGGCGCTTCAAAAAGCCTGTTTGTATAAAAGGTGTTACAATTACAAAGATGAGCTGAATTAAGAAAGAAAAGATTTTAGCAGTTTATTCGTATTTGAATTTGTTTAATTTAAAAAACAAGATTGAATATTTAGAAATACAAAAAAGAAAACCAAACGGACTTCTGTTTTAATAATTTACTTTTAATTTGAACATTTTTTTTCATTTTTCAAACGTTTTGTATCTTTTTTTTCTCTTTGTTTAATCGACACATTTGAACAATTTTTCAAGAAAACTTAGTCAAAGATCAAGATGAAAAACTGGACTGTTTTCATTCACACAGGAGCATTTTTAGGAATAAAGCGCATGTGTAAAAGAGGTTTTACCACCTGTCTGTTTGTTCTTCTGTAAAGCTGAACATACTTTAATAAATCAAACTAAACAGAGTTAAAGAGTTCCACTTTCTGTCTGTCAGCCATTAAAACTTGAACCTGAACTTCTTTAAACTGTAACCCGCAGAGGAACCTGAGTAAGTAGGGCTGACTGTAGCTACACTGTATGGATCTGGGACATGCACCAGGCATAAGAGTTCAAGTAAACAGAAATATCGAGAGTTTAGATCAACGACAAAGGTCACTCAAATATTTGAAATTCCAGATTAAATCCAGCTGTCGCTACATCTGCTGCTCGTTCCTGTACATTTAAACCCCATACCGAGAAAAGGTCACAAATATTTTGTCTCCGTACTTCCTGAATTTTATCCTTCAGACAGCGTGCACCTCTGTGCCCTCTCAATCTGCTGCTGAGATCTCAGCGTCTGGAGAGAGCGAAGCCAAGCAGTCATGTGACCTCCGTGGAGATGGCATCAGCCAGAACCCAGACGGCCTTTCAAGGAGATTTTCCATGTAATTATATTTCTCTTTTCTTTCATGTGGGAGTCTTAAGAGGGAAAATATGAACATAAGGGCCATAAAAGTGGTCAAACTGAAAGTGATATTTTACACTGAGGCTAATAAGCTTCAGATTTCCCAGCAGAGGATGTCACTTCTGCCTCCTTTTGCAGATTTCTGCAGCAACTTTTCCCTTATGATGCAATATTGGGATTTATAGCTCACATGTCTCGACACAATAGGATTTGGCATGTTTTATTCCTGCTGTTTGGAGGCTGGATTGAAGGTGTTTCAAGATATGAGTCCAGTGAAATGAGATAGAGAGGTTACATGATGATTCGACACTCATTAAACAGCAGAAAAATACTTTCTTCCCACATCCTACATCTGTGTCACTCCTCCGAGCTTCATTACAGGCGGCTTTCATCCCACACACTGGAATATTTTGGTTGAACCTCGCTGTGGAAAGAGCCAGAGGTCAGAATCTGGTTGACCGAGATGACCTCGGCTGACCGGAGTGAGGGGTGAGGACCGTGCTGGCCCTGCGCTGCGGTCGGGGAAAGCCGCCTCACGTTGGTAACAAACGGGAAAACTTATATCCTGCGGGCACACAGCACCAGACAATTATCCACAAAGTTCCATAATAACAACCCCAACAGGCTGAAAGAGGAGGAAATAAAGTAAGTGGAAAGTTTTGAGACACAGAAATGATTGTGCTGCATAAATATAAAAGTATTCAGACCGAAGGAACCGAGAGGGTACGTGATACTGAAGACGTCATCATCAGACGGAGAGGGCAACGGCAGGAACACACACTTCATAAAAGCCTCAATGAATATCAGTCAGCAGACAAAATAACCGCTGAGTTTCTAGTAAAAAGGTCACGGAGAGGATGACCAGCCCGGAAAACATCCATAAATGAGACGGGTGAGCTTTTCCATGTCAGTATTCAGAACAAAATACAAAAAGGACGTTTTTAAATCTCAGAAACCGAAACCACGCCAGACTGTTTCCGCAGAGAACGCCAGAGTGTTCCCAAATTTTAGCATAAATTTAGATTTTATGGTACCGTTATACAAACTGGATATACACCAAAAGAAGACCTATGAAAGCAAGAAATAAAAACCAATCGAATCAACTTCAAATGTTTTTGTTTAAAGTAACTTGTTACGTCACAGGCAAAAAAAAACTAAAACAGTTCAAACTGACAACTTTTCTGCAGACTGCAAGGAAGAATCACGGAGCAGACTGTCTGTCCTGTTTGTTTAAAAGTAAAAAAACAACAAAATGTGGATCATAACATTTCAAATGTATTTTAAAGAAGTTTTCCTGCTTTCACTTTCAGATCATTCAGTCTTCAAACTGACATTTTTATGTGATTCTGGATCCAAGGAATTCACTCCCAGTTTTTGTGTCGGCTCGTCCCTGTAAACTTCACACCAAGGTCACGTTCAGTTTTCAGACTTTGGATTTAATCACTTTGGTGTCAAGGGTTTCAAATATTGATTCTTCATGTCAACGCACCTGTATCACCGTGATGCATTTACTGTCCTTGGTCTTATTTTGCGTGTAAACACACACTGCCCTATTAACACAGATTTTTCCTTTTGGTTGTGAAATTCAGAAATGAAATATGGAGGTAAAGCAGAAATATTAAGTGCTAGCCTTTACTGTAAGGGACTCAGTTTGTGGCTACCAGTGCAGCTCTGATCACGTTATGGGAGATGACAGATACAAGACAAACACAAGTGTCGTCATCAGGTTGGAGAAGTTCAAGTCGATGTTTCTGTCCGAGGTATAAACTTTTTCATAGCTAGAGAAAATGCATGGTATCCCAATCTGATGCAGCAAAATGCTCCCAAATCCGCTTAACCGACCTCCTCTGCAGGGAGGCGTCATTGTTTTCCCAAGAGGAATTACAGACACAACCTCGCCACGCCGCGATGACAGCAGTAATATCAAGCATGCTTTCACTGCGTGTCAGAAAGAGAGGGGTGTGCAAAGAGCAAAAACAACCTCCACCTAGTATTTAGTGAGAACGTCCTCACTCACCTCAGAGTCATGGAGGCCTCCTGTTTTCCAGCCAAGGCAGAAAACAAACCCAGTTTGTGTTTATCCAGGTCCTAACACCAGCAGCCGCAGTGGACTTTCATCTAAAACTACACTGACCAGGCGGCGGGCAGCTTGATGAGCCAATGACACAAATAAACATCAGCGCAGGCCACAAATAAACGCCTCTTTTCCGGTGCGCTGTGTGGCAGGCGGGCAGCTGGCATGTGCATCAGCGAGCCAAAGCACATGGCAAAATATTGACCAACATCTGCAGAAATACCGCGTCTGGCACGCATTTTATATTCCTGGTTTTTACAGTGATGCTGCAAGACGCTGCTGCAGCTTTAGAGCCGTGACAGCGTACATCTCCTAGCTGCGGGACCACAGCCCTCTGGAGACCACGACCTCTCACATGTGCGCAGCTCCGCAGCAGCTGCATGTAACTCAAAAATAATTGCTTCCTTCAAAAAGTCCTGGGAAGCATGATGTGTGTTTCTGCGGGGTTTGTCTCTGCAGGGACGGCAACTAAATCAACATTTTACAACCGTTTATCAGCACATCACTTTGTAGTTTTCTGCTCATGCTATCTGAGGGACACATTAGGGGGGGAGGGTAAAAAAGGGGTCTGTTTGGAGACAGTAGCTGGACATATTATACAGGTAAGTGATCCAACAGTCAAAATCTTATCACTGAGAGGACAAACGCAGCATAAGGTGATCAGAAGTATTGAGGTTTCCTTATTGTCAGTGAAAGAAAGTTATGTCAAACTCATTGTAAAGTTTTGATTAGACATTAAATACTTGATTCTGATTCGTCAAAAACCCACGAAGACGTTTATCAATTCCTAAACACTGATTTATTTTGGCAATTAATCTTTTTTTATCCTCTGTTTTGAGTTTTAGGTGAAAATAATGTTTAAAACAACAAAATTTTTTATATAATTTGAAAAATGTTAGTTCAGAACCACTTCTGCTTCCTCTGTAATTCATAATAATGCAAGAGTTACTATAAAAACCAGGAGTCAGTATCCGAAATAGGTCATGTCAAAGTGGTTTAGCTCTGTGCAGGGAAACCTTGAGCGAAACCACCGTCCTCTGTAAAGTTTGTCTTGAGTCTGCAGCAACTAAAAACAGCAGCGTAACTAATTTGTTCCACAATCTAATCACAGGCTGGCAGCAAAGTGGGCCAAGTGTGAGTCGTACAGTGAGCTGCAGCAGAAAAACAGCCACCTGTAAACACCTGCTTTACAAACGGGAACATAAGCAGCATAAAAGGGAATAAAGCAACAATTTGCAGATTTGATCCCAGGCATTGATACTCTAGTCTCTCATCTATCATCAGAAATCCTGTTAAGCTGCACTTCTGGGTCATGATTCTTGTTCCTACTGTGCAGGTGGTGTGTCACATGCCGGTACCTACCATGAGCGAAACGATGAACCCAGTAATAGGCAAAGTCTACGCCCAAGAACATGAACCACCAGGTCCAGGCACAGTCCCAGGGCAGCTCCATCAGGCGGTACCTGTCCCACACGAACATGTACGCAGACAGCTCACAGCCTCGAACCAGCAACCTGGAGGGCGGGACAACCAGAGTCGTCTGTCAGCGCAATATTTACTTCTTAGATATTGAATCAACTCTAAGACCCTCACCGACTCTGAATTCTACCGATTAGACCAAATTGGAAAGCTACACTGAGCTGGACTGTGTACTTTACTTTGAAAGACTTTTTAGCTGTTCTCGAGCTTCTTCTGTAAGAACTTTTAGATAAAATAAATTAAAATAAGGAGAAATAAACTGTCCTACTGCTTCATAAAAGCCGGTACCAAACAGGTAATGGAAGTTTGTGATGATATGGTGATATGATGAGAGTGACACAAAACGAAATGAAATAAAACAAAATAACATGACATGCTATGGCGCCAAACAATGTAATGTAACACAACACGACAAGATACAATACGATACAGTATGTTCCATATGGTACAGCATGATACAATATGACACAACATAACACAATACAACACAATATGTCACAGTATGATTCGACATGACTTAAAATGATGCAATATGATATGGCGCAACAAGATAAGATACAATAGGATATGCTCTGTATACGATACGATATCTTCAGTGTAATATAGGACGATATGATGCGATATGATATGATACAATCAATATTGTCAAAATTATACAGGTCGATACCATACGATAAGATACCATACCATAAAATGTCTTCAATATTAGATATAGGGCGATACAATACAATATCTTCAATATTGTACAGGATGACACGATAAGATACGATACAATCACGATATCTTCAGTATTATACAGGGCGATACGACACAATACCTTCAATATTATAACGGACAATACAATACTATATCTTCAATATTATATAGGACGATCCGATACTTTCATTATTACACAGGATGATAAGATCCAATATCTTTAATATTTTATAGGATGATACAACATCTTCAGTGTTATATAGGACGATACGATATGATATCTTCAATATTACACTACATAATATGATACCATACGATACGCTATGATACGATACAACGCAACTGACACCATACAATACGGCTTGGCATGGCATGGTATGATACAAATGATACGATATAATTGACTGAATTTTATCCTTGTGTGTACTTCATTGTTGTATATACTGAACTCCTCTGTTTTACTGTCTTGTCAGTCTCTTGTATAAATTTCTAATTGCAGTCAAAAAACCATATAGAGGGGAATTTGATTCTGCTTCTCCCTGAACCTCACTCTGGACGTGGTAACAGTCTTTTAGATGAAAATACTCTAAGTTAAGGCGCTTCACAAATCTGATCTCCAAGACCGATACAAGAGCCGTATCTTCCTAAAACAGGAAAGAAAGCTGTCCTCAGACAGACCGAAGGACGAGCTGCTTAATCACTCACATTGGGAGTCTGGAGATCATCCCAGCAGCTAAAGAAGTGACTCCATCACCAAGTGGAATCACAGGAGCCCCTGTCTTCAGAAAGCCCACCACCAGCTCCAGCACCATCAGCAAGATGAAGAAAGGAGTCGCCTGCACACATAAACACACACAAATACACATTTAATTGTAATCGTGATTCAGCAACGTCACATACTGTTAAAAAACACACAACAGTTTCAAGTCCACTGTTGCCTCTTGCAGTTGTGTTGAGGTTAGATGTTTGTTTTGGCGGACAAACTGAGAGCACGGGGACTTTCATGTCTTGCGATCCGTGATGTTTGTTTCGCTCTGCGAGGTGGAAGCAGCGGGTTTAAAGCCACAGTGTATTGGCAGATCGGAGATCACAAACATTTGTTTGAGGAGAGCAACTGGAGAGGCAAACAGTCACACTGGTTGGGTAAAACACTGAAGGACCACAAGAAGGAGTATTTGGCATCGTAGAATAACACTAAACATTTGCATTTGCTTGTGCATGTTTTTTTTTTTTGCAGGTGTTAAATGGTGGATGACTTTCCTTTGAGTCTTTGCTGTTGTTGGTTTATGAAAGAAGGAAGCCATTCAGATGAATTTGAGGACTAAATTGTCCTGTTAACTTTAAAGTAAACTGGTTTTCACGTCAGAAGAGCTCAAAGAAGTGGCTGCTTCTTGCAAAAAAATGCATGTTGAAAACCACTAGTAATGTTGTCTGCTCTTCTATGTTTGTGTGAAGTGGCTGAAACGTTTGTAGTTTTAGAAATGAGCCAGCAGTTTTGTGATCCAGTTGTTCATCTTGGAAGTCAGGGTTGATCTTGAGAAGTTTTGAGTCTCATCTAAGTCCTAGAGTTTGGACTATCGGTCTCTGAAACTGTCTGAAAACTTCTACTCTCTACTCCTGCAGTCTGAGTTACAAGAAATGCTTCACTCTACTTCACGTTATGTGGAATCTAAAGATGCAAATAACCCAAGACAGAAGCCTGATTTCTGCTTTTTCATCAGAACTGTTCCTACACCAGACTGGCCGTCAAGACGACTACTTACCTCTGTGTAGGTGAGTCTGAGTCACTTTGCAATACTCCACCTACACGTTCATAGGCAGTACTCTACTCATACACCACTACTTTCTCATTCTGCTACGTTCCCTCCCTTTTTGAGTACCGGAAACCATGGCAACTGAAACCAAGGATAATATATTTGAGTTGAAGCTGATACCTGATGTGCAGCAGTTGATTATGCTGCAACTATTCCAAGGAAGAAAGAGGGGAGATGTTAGTGGACAGACTAAACATCCCCTGATGAAGAGGTAAGAGCGATACCGTGTGTATGTAATGTCCACCACCAAGTAGACCAATCACAGAGATCGTTGTCTGCTTCTTTCAACACATGGTTACATTTAAAGAAGGCGCACATTGGGCTACACATGCAGGCTTCTGCATAGGTGCAGGACTACACGGCCTTACTAGGTATGCTATAGCTTAGGTCCAACCACAGACTGTAGTGATGGAGTGAAGCCACTCCGAGAACAGCACCCTCTGGTGACGGGCTGCAGTATAGGTCATAAATCCCACCTTCCCACCGAATGCGCACAACGCTACAGCGCAATGTTGGTTTCAGGAAATGGAGAAAAAATGCGGAATTACCGAGAGCTTTTTGGCTTCAAATCCGTATAGAACTGACAGCGGAACCAAGTTAGCCATAGTATATACAGTCTAGGGGTCCAACACAGAAGCATAAACCATAAACTTGAGTGGCAAAATGAAACCACTGAGTAACTTCATGGAGCTGCAATTTCTCAGGTAAAGGCACAGAAAGCCCAAGAATAAAATTCATTAAAAAAACATTCTATGAATTTTTCAGAGTAAAGCTCTTTTTTCTTCTCTTTGTTTCATGCTGTATTAAACAAAATTCTTTAAGACCATCTTGGTTAAAATAAAGAGTTCTTCTGAATCATAAGAAAAGTTGTTGTATTTATTTCCACATTACTGACTTTAACACACACTGAACTAAAACAGCTGATGAATGTTTGATCCAAGTCATTTTTCACTTTAACCATCTATTTACGTACAAAACACCGCTTCAGTTTCTTTATTTTTGGGAACAGAAAAAGTGGTAAGACATACTTGCACTGACCAGAAGTTTTTCAGTATGGATGCCATTTGGTAATTTGTCATGACAAAACAAATGGTAATAACAAACCAAGCGGTCAGTGACAGGCCTCTATTCTAACCCTGCTGGAAACATGTAATAACCTCTTAATGAGTATGTCAAACATGGAACCAATTAGAGAGGGACGTGGTTAGCAAACAGGTCACGACTGCGACTTCAGACCTGCTGCTTAGCTTTAGCTCCGAGGCTCTCATCCACCAAGTGGCTGCAGTCGTAACCGGGACACATGGCCCTGCTGAGAGCGAGGAATGAGGGGCGTGACGAGGCCGCGGAGGAGCACATCTGCAGGTGGCCAGGGAGGAAACGTGCATGTGTGTGCGTGTGTGTGTGTTTGCTTATACACATGTGAACGCCTCTCCTCCTGCATGCAGGTGCGTGATGTGAGTGTGTGTGAAAGTGTGTGCACAAGCAGAAGGCGAGAGCGTCACCGGGGACCTGCAATCACACGCAACGCTCCAACATCTGGCAGCAGACTGCAGAGCTGCAGCACAGGCAGACCCCCTCAAACCCCGCTGAGAGGGAGATTATCATTCTGGATGTGGACAAAAAAAAAAAAAAACTTCACTCATTTATTCTCTCTCATGTAGCAGATAGATTTACCTTTGTGGCTCTGTGGTCCTGACAGCTCAGACAAAATTATTCAGCAGGGAAATATGATCATCATGTTGGGAATACAGAGGGGGAGGAAAGAGCTTCCTTTGCTTTCATTCTTTCACGTTACTCCCACTCGGATAACTTCATCGCTGTCATCTTTGTAGTCACAGTATTCGTCCTCTATTGCCATTTTTAGCTACTAAAGAACTTTTTTTAACTGAATAGTTTTCTTAATAAGACGAAGATATCAATAAACCAATCTTCATGCATACTTTTTGTTCATTCCTCACTATCCAACTATCTCTCTGCATCTACAGTTATCCAACTCTCATACAGTGCACGCCTGTTCAACATGAGTCTGTTCTTGCTTGAGGTTTCTGCCTGTTTCCCCACTATGCTGCAGATAATGGTGCTTGATTATGGCAAAAAAAACATAATTGTGATTATTTTTGTTGCATTTACGAAACGTCTCTTTTACAAACATAAAATGAGTGTTAATCCCACACTCAGCGTCGACAGGTAGCTGCCACACATGAGTTTAGTCCTGCTCAAGGTTTCTGCCTGTTAAAAGGAAGTTTTCTTCATTCATGTTGGATGGGGTGGGTCAAATCTGTTCCATCTCAAGGTTGACTCTGTTTAGTACATCAAACAATGAGTGTGGTCTAGACTTGCTCTTTTGGAAAGCATCTTGGGACAAAGACCGTTGTGATTTGGTGCTATGTAAATAAAAATGTAATGATTGATTGAATTGATTAATATGTGGGAAAATCGTCAAACTGGAAAATGACATTAAGCATAAAAGAAACAGACAGTATATAACAGAGTTGAAAGGGGCCGTGCTTTAATTCGTTCAGCTTAATCACAATGAAAACACTAGAGGGCTGACTAACGAGGGCGACCATGTTCTGACTTCCTCAAAACTACGGAGTTGCATAAAGCTAATTTTGAGAGTTTTTCAAGTTGGATCAAGTGTCATTTACGCGCTTCTAACTTGGTAAGTCCACATTACACAAAATTGAAACTCTCATACAGAACCGCTGATATTTGAAGGATTTTATAAACTTCCCCAGACAAAGCTGGACAAGCCCCCAAAAAAGCGGACATGTCTGGGTCAAAAGAGGACATATGGTCACCCAATGATTAACACTTGTAATTGAGTCAACATTGTACACTGTGTTATTAAAATGTCAAGCGTTATGTTTAACCCGGCGACTGTAAGCTCATTCAGGCTCTCTTTGTTTTTTCAGACATCTCCTGCTCTTCTCCCTGCTCTCCTCTCTCCTCTAGTCTGATACCTTATGACTGGGGGACTGTTTTCTACTGTGACCATGATTCATTTGAAACCAGAAAGGTGACCTCAATATCTGAGTGTTCAAACTAGACTAGAGATTATCTGGACACAGCTTCACATTTTCCCAACATGCTACAAATCTTTTTCGGGCAAATTTACGAGACTTAATGCTAAAATAACCAAACAACAATTAAGTTTAGGTGTTAACTATGGTGTCAACACTCTATTTGTGATGCTAACAATGCAATAAAAACGTTCCTCTTATGGATACAGGAGGCAGACACACCTTTCCTGTTAAAACTAGATAGTTCTGATCTGTTATGTGCCTAAAATGCTCTTGGAAAGTTTGATCTTTTCACAATAAACTTGGAATTACTATCAAAGAGTCCTGTTTTGTAATGCAGCATACTTACACCCCCTGTGAACTGTTTGTTGTGGTATTCAATAATATTATTTTCTCCACTATTTCGACATTACATTAAACATGAAGACATTTGTCGACCAGATGTCCGTGCTTTCCCCGAACAGCCTTTTTTATGGGGTCATGGACGACTGATGTTTGCTGAAAACATGCAGTCTGACAATCGGCTTTTATCACCGCTGTCTGAGGAAAACATTGTGTTTGCTTTTAAATCAGAGAGACCAGGAAACAACCCTGAAAACCCGTAATTCCAAACAACTCCGAAATAAGAAGATTTTGTTTTTCTTCTCGAATTAATGAGGCCTGCTGGGATCGGAGAACAACAGTGCGCAGAATAATTAATGACAAAGTGCTGAGTCACAAAGTGCTCATACACACCCCTGCAAACTTGTATCACCACAAAGCCCTGCAGCTATAACAAATCTGTTTAATCACGCTTGGTAGTGGATAATAAGGACTCCTGTTGTGAGGGTAATTGTCCTCCTCCCCTGATGTGCGCTATAAAACCTCATGACAAACATATGTTGTTAAACCTGCGCCAGACAATTGCTGCAGTAAATGACATCTCAGACGCTGTAAAATGACATTAAGTTGTAGTAGAGGACTCTTATTGTGCTAATTAATGTGTAAAACATTAAATTTGTGTGACGATCTAGTGTTGCCTCATGTGACGAAGATATCTAAACCTTCTCTCACGCTAAACACATAAAGCTATTGACAATTCTTGAAAAGTGATGGGGTGTAAATCATCTGTGTATCTTTGAAATCCTTTCTTTAAGGGTCAATTTCATGAAGTCATGTAAACACTGTCCTTATCCAAGTGAGCTGTTACATGAAGGTCAAGATCCCCCAAAGTCAAAGCCACTATAAGGAGTTTTAGGATGTTTATGAAATAGAAGTTTGTTCTGATGCCTTTTCATTATATCTAAAAGTAAAAAAGAGCGACAAGGACTAGATTACATTGTTTTTCATGATGTCTAACACCAGAGTGACGGGGGTAGGTGTCAGCCAGGCAGCATTTTTCACATTAAATATTCCCTGATCCATTTGACTGGCTAAAAGTCGAAATAATTAGATTAACTTTAAAAGATAGGACTTTAGTATGTAAAAGACAAGATAAGCAAATAACGCTTTGTCAACAGGTGACGCCAAAAGTGACACAAAACAAAAGTTCCTCGCAGGAGCTTTTAATCAACTGTAAACTCAGTAAAAGTAACTTTTTAATTTTGATTTCACATTTCAGTCATTTTAAGTCAAACTTACAAACTGTTGTGTTTTAAATTTAACTAAATATGTTTCTTCAACAGATATTGATGTTGATTTTTCTTATGATGAAGTGTAAAGGTCACTGGAGTTTTTTTTAGTCCTGAAAAAAACATTTTCTTGTAGGAATGAAATCATGAGAAAATCAAGCTGTACTGTTATGTTTGGGGGTCATATTACAACAAACACAAAGTGCTGGTAAAGTCATAATTTTTCTAGAATAAAGCCATCATGTTCAGACAGCAGCGTCTGCCTCACAACCAATCAGGTTGGGGGAGGTGAAGAACGGCTTTGTTTACAGTAAAAAGAGCTGAGTGCTCGGAAATTTAAAACGTTGACTTCACAGACATAACAAAACACAGCGATATCGTTATATTACCAAATGTCATCAATGACTAACAGCTATTGAATGATATTGAAAGTTTTTTTGTATAAACACCACAAAAAAAGATGCTTCTTTAACGGATTCCTACCTACCCCACCTTTCATCAAAACAGTAACAGCTGCTAATCATAGATTGAGTTTCTGATTTTGAATGTGATTTTACTACAACTTTATAAACATGAGAAAATGAAAGGAAAGACATCAGCACATTTGCTGATGATGTACAACAGTTCATCAGTTGTAGTCTTTACTGTTATTGGACTGGCACACGCTGTTGTTGCCACTTTTCATTTTAAACAGGGTTCTATTTGGTGTACTTGGATGTCCTTCCTCTCTTTCCTGTCTTCTCCATACAATCTCAAACTGTCTTAAACTCACAAGTCTTCACAGTTTTAGCTGAATGAGTAAAATCGGATCAAATGAGGACAGCAGTCATGTAGGCCGAGCTGTAAAAAGGTTAAGATGAGGACACAAACCAACGCAGAGCTGAACGATGACGCAGTCCTGTTTTGAGAAATCCCCTTTAAATGCATGACCACATTTATGGCTTAAATCATGAAATATCCTTCAATTAAAATCTTTTATCTTTTAAACTGCTTCCTCTTTGGGTTGTAAATATGAGGTCATCTAAACTCTGCCCTTCAAACCCTGTTGGATAACTCTCTTATCTTCTCCAGGATACTGATTAAAAGGTCAAAATCCCCCCAAACTGGGCCTCATTGAGTTTAGTGTTCTACTTTATTTTAGCTGTTTGATTTTTGGGGATAAGTTTCAGCTAATTTTTTTAGAAACTCCTGAAATCTGTGGTTTTATTTTTTTTTTTATAACCCAGTTTTTAGTCATTTTTGCTCCTTTGTTTGTGAATGAACTAGACAGACACTTCTATAAACACTCATTTGCTCCTTTGTAAGAAGTTCCAGTCTCTTCCATACAGCTGAGACGCCAAATCTTGTTGGCATAAGTTAACATCACATGCAAGCAATTGATGTGTCATCGTATCTGCGTATATAATGGCAGCGATTTCTACATCTGCCAGCAACAGAAATCAATTTTATACAGTATTATCCACCAATACTAATATCCTCCATCCCTAATTGTGTCTGTGTCCCAGAGTGGCACCAAATCATCCTCTGAAACTCCACATATAATGCTTTACCTGAACTTTTATCAATGTTATGAGCAAATATCCAGATATTTCTGATAATATTGGTAGTTCAAAATGTACAGCAAGTTTTAGCTTTATCATTAAGAATTAAAATTACAGACATTAAGATAGTTTTCCTTTTTTAACTGTGAATCCTCCTCCTACTTTTGTCTATGTTTCTGCAAAATGAGAAATGCGTTACAAGAAGTGTTTCTTTTAAATATATATTTTCTTCCTGTCATTTAGAGGTAGTGAAGGCAAATTTTACCAACACTTGAGTATTTAGATTAGTTGTTCCGCACAAATGCAGTTTATTGTCTATGTTGGGTATCACAAGTGTTGTCTTTGGTCATACATTAGTATTGCTTCTGTAGATTCAAAGCCTAAATCTATAACATACTGTATTTTTCACACTATAAGGTGTACTTAAAATCCTTTTGGCTTGTCAGAGCACTGCAGCTACCCTAGCCTCGCGGAGTTATTGACTGTTTTGCTTGGCTTAATGCGCTTTATAATCCAGTGCACCTTATGTATGATAATAGACCCGTTTATTGATGGTGCGCCTTATAATCAGGTGCACCTTATAGTGCGAAAAGTACGGTAAGTAGATTAGGGTGGCTGGAAAAATCTGAGGTGCTGTTTTGTGTATTTATTTTTCAAAATTTTGACTTTTTTCCACAGAAGTCTGAGTTTAAAGTCAGAATATTGGCTTCAAACTTAAAATCCAAACTTTTTTTCTCATAATATTGGAATTACAATAACATTTTTCTGAAAAAAGGAAAAAATATGAGGTGAAAACAAGAAGTCAGACATTTTTCTCTGAATTCTGCAGGAGAAAATAAGTCAGATTGCAAAAAAGTCTTAATTTTTTCCCAATTGGCCCCTTTCTCCTTCCGTATCAATACATACTCAGTTTAGAAATACTAAAGCTAGAAGTATCTACACATGAGGGCAGCTTGTATCAGCAAATACTCCACATTTTTGCTGATAAATCAAGTGTAAATTACTTTCTGACGAAATGATAAGTCAGTGTTTTGGTTTGCATACATGGAAACCTTGCATGCATGTTTCCAGAGCTGGTTTTATATTCCCTGACCAAGTCCAGCTCTTCTCCAGCCCTGCAGTGAGAGACAGCAGCTGAGGGTCGACTAAGGTTTCCTGCCCACAGCAGGAGGAATCAGATCACCACATAGGCAACACATTTTTCTGCGTGAGAGTGAGTGAGTGAGTGAGAGGGAAGTGGAGGAAAGTTGTACCCACCTGCTGCACATAATGAGGAACTTCTTCAACTTTCTCAAAGGATGATTCGTTCGGAGTGAGCATGAAAAACATGCCCCGGATCCCCGCCGACATGACTTCGTAATCTATATTTCCAGCCATTGTCAGGTGGCAAAGCGCTGAGCTCTGCTGCAGGTGTGTTTTTATACTACCTGAGCAGGTATTAATCTCACTCTGAACACGCTCCTCTCTGCCAAATTCCTCTGCTCGCTTATATAACCCCCCTTGTTTTTTTTGTTTTCCTGGAGAGTGAAGTAGGTCAATTACGAAATAAGAGCGAGCCAGCAAACTTCTCACATTCAGGAAACCGGCTCCGGGTCAGTTTGGAGCAGCTGCAGGATACTGTTACTGAAACCATTTCTCTGCTCATCCCGCGTCTTCTTTTATAGGAGGCGGCATGTTTACCTTTGGACACGGTGAGACTCACTGCGAGGTGACGCGTTCAGTCACTTTATCTCGCGAGAGTTGGTGTTTACAACTTTTGAAAGCTGTGGGGGAGAGTTTGCAAGGCAGCCAGGGAGTAAGTCACAGTTTGTTTTTTCACACTTTTTTGGTGTTTCAATGAAAGAAGTGTACCAAAAGTATAACTTAACAGTATAATAAGGTTCCCCGGTTAAACACTGTAAAATTTTCAAGGACATTTTTATTCACACTAAATGTTAAATGACAGTTTTAGAAATGCGTGATCATCTCTCAGAGGGCTGCTACGGCTAGCTAGCTAGCTCGCTAACAGCACTACAACTATAAACTCAAGAAATTACCCATTTGAACTAAATATCAGTGTTAAAGTTTTTTTCCAAAAAGATAGTTGTACAGTTTGAGTATATTGCAATAGCTCCACCTTTGACTTTGTGGTACAGTGAACATATTTAACCCTTCAAAATAAAAGCATGTTTGGAGTTGAAATGGGAAATAAAGCAATCTAGGACGAAATCTCACAAGCTCTCGTGTGTTTCCCCAGGAGTCGTAGAATAAGATCTGCCGATCGGTGTATGTAAGTGGCGGTGTATATAAACACCCACATCCCACAACCCTGGCCTCTCCTATTATCAAGTTAAGAACAGCTCATTGTATTGACTTTATTTTATTTTGAAAATTAACAGGATATTTTACTCTGTAACCGCATAATACTTCTGCTGCTGCTTGCGTATCTGATCTGGCCACCAGAGCCGATCCGCAGCGGAGCCAGATGGATCTTGTAGAATGACTCACATTGATGATAATGCTTGTGGATTCGATCCACCGGAGCTGTTTCGGACTGTGTGGGTTTTGCCCATTACACAATTGCAATAAAATGTAATTTCATCAAAAAATCGTTTTGTCTTTCATTGCATCAAAATCAGAAAAACACTTGCTGAAATGTCCATGAATTTCACTCAATTCACCAGGTTGTGACGTTGTTTTAGATGTTTCTAATATCAGGAGCAGGGTCGGAATATTTGACGATTGTTTGTTTTTGGCGATTCGTACAGTTTATAGCACAACAGCTCCTTGTCATTTTCTACCTCCATTCACTCCGCTAGTAAACAAATAAGAAATGTCCCGCTTACTGCACATACCTGCGATGACGTTGCACAGAAACCCGTCTATAGCGTCAATATAAACCAGATTGATTTCGTTCTTGAAAGATTGTGGAACAAAATGGAGTTGTGAGCCCAGGAACATGAATAATAATTGGGAGTTGAACATGTTGATCTATCTGTATGACAGACTGTGGAGTCAAACTCACCTGTTGAACACACAGACGAGCCTGCACTTTCACTCTTTTAGATTACACATTGCAAGGTAGCAGGTAACCTTCAGGTATAAATACAGGGGGCGGCATGATAACCCTTGATAAACTGATGTTGTAAGTGTCCTTGAATCCCACCCAAACTCAAAGAACAAAACAGCGACTAAGACTGGTCGCAGACATGCTGGATCAGCTGGAACAGATCACAGTAGATACGTGTCTGTGAACCAGTCTTTGGTGGGTGGGATTCAAGGACACTTACAACATAAGTACGGTAAGGGTTATCATGATGTGACCTGTTACAGGAGTCTGGAGATTTATGATGGCACAGCTTAATTTTACTGCTGCATTAAAAACCATTTAACATCTTTCCACCTGAATTCTTATGAAACGTTTGACCTCATTTGTAAAGGTCTTTGTTGGTTTAATGTCAGTATACAATGATTTAAGTAAATAAGTGGAAGGCACATATCTGTAGGTGAGTGTCCTGTACGTTATGTAAGCTTATGGTATGTGGTAACCAGGCAGGTATCATGAACATGTTAGATTACCAAGGCTGAGTGGAAAAAGGTGAATGTCCTCTGTATTTGTGAGCTCTTTGCAAAGGGAGGATTGATCATACTCGCCTCGCGGGGTTCTTTCAGGGTTATGGAAAACAAAGAAAACCGTTGCATGCAATATGAGGTTCCTCCTGGAAAAATTAGAATGCACAATCACAACGTGCTGAAAGGCCGGATCATGTCATGAAATTATTTTCAACTGGATTTTGTAACAGAATACGATCCTTTGCGGGTTCGCTCTCCGACTCTTGGCAGGAGTCCCGACCCTGCCCTGAGGCTAAGGTGAATTTAGCATGCAGCCCCATCACCAGCTTTCTGCACTCTGTGCGATGTTTAATTCATTTCAGTTTCACATCGTGAAAAAACACGCACACCAGCCTGGGTTGATGTGAAAGGATGTCTGCACAGATGGAAAAAGAGATCAAATTATACAGAGTCCATTTACCACTGATTAAATTTTTATTTGATCTGCAACTGTCCCTGAAAGGATTAACAAAATCTTCATTCAGGTTTCAGGTTTGTTTACAAAATGTCATTTCTAGGCAGGAAAGTGTTGACCAAAGAACTGTCAGTGCTGAAAACTGTGGGTATAAAAATGTTAAAGTTAGACAAGACTGAGAATTATTTACAAATCAATTATATTAGCTCGGCTAATTTGATTTCCCGGCACTTGATTTGATCAATTCCTCAATTACATTGTAATGTACATTTTTACAGTAGAAACTGGAGTGCAGACTGCACGTTCAACAGTGCAAATTTAAGACTTTGCTTCTTTTAAGGCACACAACATGGAATGTTTACAACCATTTGACTGAATAGTATTTTCCAAATGTCGCTGAAACACTAAGTTGATTTGCGGAGGGAAAAGTGTGATTACCTGTTACTGTATTTTGTAAAGAATATTATTTAACCGGTAGCGCTTTGAATTGAGTCAACATCCCTTTTATGTGCTTGAAATTTACATTTTGCTTGCTTTATACATAATTCCTCTGTACATTTGTACACTTTTTTGGCATCATTGTATGATGGCGAATCAGCAAACAGCAGTCCTTACAAGGCCGGTCCTGAGTCAGAGGCAGGGCCGATCCTCGGAGGAGGAGGAGGAGAGGGGGCGGGGCATCATAAGTGAGCATGCTCAGAGCTCTGGTCGCTGTCATGACTGTCCTCGTTGGCTAAGGAGTCCGTCGAATGGTGGAGCGCTGCGATGCCAGAGAACTCTGACGGCAGCAGCGTCCCCTTTTTCACATTGACCAGTTCTTTCTCCCGAGCTGCTGCCCCCTGCTGGCCGCCCTTCACTCTTTTCCACTTCATCCTCCTGTTTTGGAACCAAACCTTCACCTACAAAAGAGACAGAAATATCAAATTATCTGCTTTGAAAGAAAAGGAAAACAGTTGCAGAAATAAATAAGATTGAGGAGAACGTCCATGAAAAGTTTGGCAGCTATTCCTGTTGCAGTTGCTTCACACGGACGTTCGGCTCCGGCTGCCTCTTGGCCTCTACCTGTTTTTCCCTGACTCAACAGCCTCCTCCGTATTTACGTCTCTCGGTTTGATGATTAAGCTGTTGCTTAAAACGGTGTACACGTCAAGAAGCAGCAGAGGCCGTCTGAGTGTCGACACGTACGCCTGAAGGGAGGGGGAGGTGGGTGGGAGAGAGGAGGGGAGGCTCGCTCCTGTCACGAAGGGTGGGGTGAGTTTATTTTTGGGGAGTGTCATACTCAGGGGACTGAGCGGTCACATGGTCAGGAAGCGAGTTGACAGCACAAACGTTTGTCTTAAACGGCGTGCTGAGTCTCACCTCAGATTCTTTACAAGCCTCTGGGCCTTTTCTGAGAGCTGTGGGGGGGGGGCAGCAGAGGATCACTTATATATGCCAGGGTCTGATGTCAAACCAAACATGTGACCCTTTAAGGGTTACGTGCATACACACAAACCTTTTGCCCTCGCTTACCTGCAGCGTACCTGGACTCTATGACTGTGCAAGTACAATAATATCAATATCACCTGTTGTCAAGTGGCACGTGTCTCTAAAAGGTTTTAAAATAGTTAAAAAACATACAAAAATAAAAATTTAGAGGTGTTTTTTGATGTGTTGAGGATGGATTTAAAAGCATTGACAGATGAATAAAATCATTTTTTACAACTTTGGTAACCAGACGACCAAAGCCTGACAGCTGTTAGTCCTGGCCAGGCTCTGCACACAACCAGTGATCCATTTCCAGTTGATGGAGGTCAGCAGTTGTTTGATGTACTTACAGTCCTTAAGAGTGAGCAATAAAATGTTAAAATCAATGTGGGAATGAACAGGAAGCCAGTACAGGAGGCCAGGATGTGTTTTCCTTTTTCTTCTGCTGTTTGAGACCACTAAAAAGGAGCGCTGTAAGCCACACACTACACGCTGCAACCAGCTCCATAATGAAGATTTTGGCTCTAGACAGTTTCACTTCAGAGTTAACCTCAACAGTGACAGGAGCACTAATGACAACAGGGTCCTAGTGTAGGATTTCAAGATTGCATTGTTGCTTTGTGGAAGCACAAGCAGCTCCACAGATACTCACACCAAGCTGTTTCACCACATCAAAGCCAAAGCTACATAACAGCTCTGTTACAACCACCGAGAGCCGTTTAGTGGTGGAGCAACTTTTTGCACCATCATACCTTGAAGCTGCAGATTCAAGACCGTATTTACGAGACAATTCCAGGGCAGGACAATTCAATAGCTTCCATGTCATGTGACCAAAAGACCTAAAATTGATTTCAAATAATCGTACTTTTGTCGACCAATAAGACAAACATTGTTGACCAATTTTCATTGTGCCCCTAAAGTTCGTTGTGTCTTCCTTACTTTTTCAATTTAGGAGCACGAAACTTGGTGTCAAGCCCTGAATTCAAAGACCCTCGTTGTCTGCAACGTTAAACGTCCATTATGACTGAATTTTCGCTGTCATGGGTAACTAATTTTAGCTTCTAACCATAACCCTAGCACTTACCCTAACCCTCCCCTCAAACTAAAACAAAACACAGGTCCAAGAGATGTGGTCCCAGAATTGTGGTCCTAAAACTGCAGCCTCCAGCTCTGCAGACATGTACCATTGGCACCATTACACCTCTGAGTGTCAAACCTTGCATATAAAGTGTAGTAGAAGTGCTGTGCGTTTCCTGTTTTGTGTTTATAAGACATGACTCTCAGGCTTTTGCAGCACCATAATGCAACGTGAAATCCAGAGATGGGCACATAGTTAAAAATATACTGACTGTAAATCTGTAACAAGGATATTAACTTTGACAAGAGTTAATCTGTTAATCCGAGGGTGACCGAATTCTGACTTTCCAAAAAGAGGACACGACTAAGAAGGGGCGGAGTCACGGAGTCGCACAAAGTTAACTTTGAGAGTTTCTCGGGTCAGATCGAGTGTCTTTTACGTGCTTCCAACTCAGAAAGTCCATGTGACACAAACTCGAAACTTCCGCACAAAACCACGGACATTTGAAGGATTTTATAAACTTTGCCAGACAGCCCCCAAAAAGAGGACATGTCCGGCTAAAAGAAGATGTATGGTCATCCTAGTTAATCCTGTTTGAAATAAGATCTAATCCAAACACATGATATCTATTTAGATCCATGAATTACTTCAACTGTCATGAAGTTTTAGTACAGAGGGCGGGTCAGAGGCAGAGTGACTTTGCCCAATCGTTTCACTCTTTACGTTAAATTGGCGATCTGTGAGAGCCCACAGTTATACATCAAATACATAGCTCTTTACTAAATGCCCATTTAAGACCCTGATTTGCCAAAAGACCAGCCTATTAACAGCTTAAAAAGGGGATTATTAAAGACTCTTGTACTCATTTAGTGTGGATTAAATCAGGTTAAATGTCGGTGCTCATTTAAAACAACAACAACCACAGGCTTTTCTGTCACCAGAGGTTTCCAACCATTCATGTTAAAACTGGGCAAAATTTTGTCAAAAGGCAACTTTAGGGTGACTCATAACAATTATTTTAATACTGTTTCATTTACCATAATGCACTGTGTCATTACTCAGTCTGAAAAAGTAATTTAAATGCAATTAAAACCAAAATTAAATGTTTTAATAAGCTGAAAAAAGCATTTATTTCCTAATCAATCCTGCAGAAGTTATGCTTTTTGAAAAAATATGTTTATTGGGGGTCTTTCTTCCAAAAAGCTAAATTGTACGTGTTTTTCCTTACGTGTTAAGTCCAAACAGGCTGCGAGGTTTTGGCCCTATAGCTCTGCCTCTGCCATGGTCTACAATAAAACATCAATCAAATCACTCCAAACAGCTCAGGCAGTATAAATCAAACTCTGAGCTGGCTGTTTGCATTGCCAATATTTACCTCACTATCTCCTGGCTGTATATTTTCCCTGACAAAAACTGACGTCACACATAACTTATCCTGCATGAGCCGAGGAAATTTCACGCACTTTCAGTGCTGCTGCGAGCCACGAAAAGATTAATTGCAACAGTCTGGGAGGCTGAAGTGGAATAATTATGGCAGGCTCAGTGAGTTGTGGGCCTGTGGAGTTAAATGGAGTTTTCCCCAAGATAGACGTACGAAGAAGTATTCCTTCAAAGTTTTTGCACCTCAGAAATATGAAGCAAACGCTGAGGGTAAGTCTCATGATTTACTCCGAGCCATTTATTTCTCCTTATGTCAAAGTTTCCCATTCCTCTGCATTAAGCCATAAGAAGCTGCTCACATTACTGAGAGAATTTAAAAAACACCTGCAAACATTTTTATCTCCTGATTAAAAGTGTCCTCTGATGGATGATTTTTTTTTTCTGCAGCCTTTTCCACAGCACTGTGGGAGCAAACGTTTTATTTTTAGAGCGTGTGGGAATTGGACCACAAAGCCAGACTTAGTGACTTTTGTCTTTCGTTGAAAAGTTGAGACAAAATTAGGGGGATACTCCAGAGTTCTTCGGGTCGAGTCGAGTGATTTTTACACGCTTCTAACTCAGTAAGTCCATGCGACACAAACTCAAAACCCAGAACATTTGAAGGATTTTATAAACTCCCCCCGGACAAGGATGGACAGCCCCCAAAAAAGAGGACATGTCCGAGTAAAAGAAAAATGGATTAACTGTCTGAATGTCGTTTTGGAGATACCGAAGAGCTGAGATACTAAATTAAGACTAAGAACCTGCAACAAGTTGCTCTGTCTCGTTGCTGGTTCTTAGTCTGCTATTGCCCAAACTCCTAGACTATTCCTTAGCATCTCATGCTGCTGGCCTTTTAGTCGAAGTTCAGTTTCAGTTTCAACGCACAGATTTGTGACTAACTTGTGGTCTTTCTTCTCGGTTCTGTTTTGAGTTACCCGCTTGAGTTTTTGAGGTAATGTTATTCTATCGGCTTACACATCTATCCATCTGTTTTCAGCATCCATTATGTGCTTGTTGTTCTTCAGCGACTGTATTGAAGAACCCTGTAAGGCCCTTTTCCCCAAAGCGTCAGTTTTAAGGTCTGTTTTCATCCTTAGGACCCTTTTAAGGAACACTAAATGACCTTCCATTGTTTGTCAACTATCAAGGTGCCTTTAATTATCTGTTCAGCGTTAGTTTAAAGCTACCCTGAGTGACTTTATCAAGGTTCCTTTCAAGGTTTTAAGCACATGTTTTGGTTTTGTTTAGATCTGTTTTCAGGTACCTTTGTAAGAATGTTTTCAGATTTGTTTTTGTCGTCTCCAAAGTTTGATCTAAATACCTTTGAGAATCTTTTATTGCCTCAGCATCTTGTCTGTTTTCACCTTTGTAGAAGGGTTGACTTCTTTCTGCCATAGATAAGTTTAACCCTGAACACTTCATGAGCTTAGATGTTTTTTGATTCCATGGACAAATATCTCAAATTTAACTTTTTGTTTCGCTCCCATCTCAGATTTCCACCCGATACCGCTCTTTCTGCTACAGCCTCTTGGTTCCCACACGCTCGACAGCTGGATCAGCCGCCCCGAGTGTCTAATTCTGCTGCAAATTTGACCAACTTGGCTCAGGGTTATATGGGTTAATTACAAATTCCGGTGGATTTCACAGGTATTATTTCTTAGAGAGGATTAATGATGGCTCTTTTCCAATTAGGTGCCCTCATAATTTAGATTATTGAAGCAGTTTGCACACTTAAAATTAAAAAAACAACAACATTGCAGTGGGACTAAGTGAGATGGTGTTTTAAAATAAAAACACGCCCACATAGAGAGTCCTCAACTTTAGCTCCTCCTGCAAACATGAGAGCAAAGTTTGGGAAAATGTCACCAATGGAATCCAAGTAGTTAAAGCTCCTGTCAGCAACTTTAAGTTTTTGTCAAATTTGGCGCCCCCTGTGGACCAATCAGTCTTGACTTGTTTTGTCATCTACATGCTTAAGTAACGCCTTCTAACAAAACAATCCAATAACATATTTTTTGGACAGTAACGGTTGATTCTTCAACTGCTTGGCTGATACCTACCCCCCACACTGGTATTAAAAACAAGGATATAGAAGTTGTCAGTCTGGTTCTCCACCAAACATCGGATGTCGAAGAGACGTGCAGATTAAGTCAGTATTGGGTCAGTCCATCAAAGTCCACATTTAGACATCAGTGCGACGTGCAAAATAGGGTAGAAATTTAGACGTCCAAATTGGACCTTTTTCAGACATCGCTCTGATGTTTAGAATTTGAACGTCATCTGAAGACCAAATCTGGACATCGGCACAAAGTGCAAAATGGATCCAAGATTTAGACGTCATTATTGGACCTCTTTTAGACGTTGAAATGACGTCCACATTCGTACCTCATTGTCGAAAAAATACATTAGATAGATGTCATTTCGACGTCGCATTGCACAGTGGGATGAATTTCAGTCACTTTCATAAACATGAAAACTCCTTACAGGAGCTTTAATAATGATTGAAGACACACATATTGTTTGTCGGGCGCACCCGTGTATATTTTTGGTCCTTGACGCTATCATTTGCAACCGAAGCATCTCCAGAAACTCTATCCTCATTTCTCACACTTGTCTTCTCTCTACATTCAATCTACACTGTATCGCACCGTAACATATCACTGGCAAGGTGTCAACTAAGTGTGACTTATAGCTTCCAAGCGGGTGTCAGTGAACAACAGGCTGTACGCCGTTTCCTTCCCCCCACCATTTGTCTCCTGTTATTTATTTCATGTGCCTGCGTTTTTACAGCAGTCGGCCCACGCTCGGAGACCAATTTGTGCTTTCAGGGGTACTAGGAGAGAGGAAGTGACTTGCTAGACAGTGTTTCCTTCAACCCCGTCTCCTTGCCTCGGCTGTGGCCTGTTTGAAAGAATAGACATGAACATCTGGAATATGATAGTCCCGTCACACAGCCACATCTGGAGCACAATAGCCCCTCGCACTGGAGTTACGAAAACACAGTAGCAAGCCGAAAAGCCTCCTTGTCGTCCTGAGGCCGCCTCTGTTTTCACAACATGGCATTAATGTGCTAATGGGGGGTTCAGTAATGTCTGAACCCAGGGGGAAACACGCTGCGGTGGGTGGGAACGTACTTGTCTTTCAGTGAGGTCGAGGTTGACGGCGATCTCGTAGCGTCTTAGCCGGGTTAGGTAGTTGTGGTGGGCGAACTCGGCCTCCAGCTCTCGGATCTGCTCCTTGGTGAACGCTGTCCTCTCCTTCCTGGGTTTGCTGCTCACGTCTGACTTGTAATTCCCGTCCTGGGACTCTGAAACCAAACACCGCACAGGTTTTCAGTTCCACTCACAGCAGATTTATATGCAGCAAAAATAAAAATAAGGTGCCTGTTATGTGGCAGGTGCAAGTCGGCAGGGCAAGAAAAGAGAAGTAAGAGAAACAATGGGAGCTGTCAGTCAGACTTTATTGTTCACTCTTTGTTTATGAACACTTTAAGTGGCTGGAAGGACTCACGGCAGCTTCACATGTGGCAGCTGTGCTGCTACAATAGTCTGGCTCTTATACTGCCGACATGGGTTTAATTTGTCTGAGTGTTAAAAGTATCCGCTGAGGCGACTCCAGTTTTTAAAACGGAGCAAAGTGGCTCAGCAGGATACATAAAACACTTTCATATATTTTTTTAAAAACACTTTTCTGTTGTTTGATTTTTACTTTCTTTACTGAGTGTTAAAAAAAATCCTGTAAACATGAGATAAAAAGCTAAAAATTATTAATACATATAAGGTAAAGTTGCCAAACGTCATAGAAAGTTAAGAAACACACCACCACTCTTCCAGGGAAATTTGCCTCAGGCCCAAATCTGCTGCGTAACACCTGCAAACAATGTGACTCGTGACATCTGGATAAGTCAAGAAATTTCAAGCATGAATGTGCTTGAAATTATTTCACTTAAGCACTGCACTTAAGTCCATTTTTTTGAGTATCTGTCCTGTGCTTCAGGCCTGTGCATGGTTTGTCTTAGTGGAGTTGCCATACCTGTACATTGCATACTTCTGTGGTTGTAGAAAGTTAGTTTAGTGGTGGTAATGATAAAGTACAATTCTCCTTTCAAGCCCATAATGAAGGATTAATATTGTTTTCAAAGGCTCTTTACAATGTATGAAATTCATCATAGTGTACAATAATTCACCAGCTAACCTGGTAAAGCCTGTCGAGGTATTTAGCTGAACATTTATTTTATTCCAGACAAACATTATCTTTGCTTGTAGTGACCTTGACTCCCTTTTCTAAAGGTTCTTTAGCTCTGTGATTCTGTGGTTTGTTATTCCTCCTGCAAATCTGGAAATCTGCAACATGTGAGTTTACACAATCTCCGGGTTATAATATTCATAACATGCAAAAGTGATATTGGCCTGTTACTGATCACTAAATATTTTGAGGCATCTTCATGTATTTAAGTATCTATACAAGAGCATTATTTATTGACGGCATGACTGAAAGTTAAAAAGTGTTTTTCTTTGTACTTTTTAAACTTGTATGTTGTGTTTGTTAAGATATCTAGTGTTGTCCGTTATTTATCTGTTCTGATATTTTGTATCTTTTAACAAGCATTCCATTCCATTCCATTCTCTTCCATTACATTCTATTCCACTCTGTTCCATTGTACTTCATTCTATTCTATTCTATTCTATTGTTTTCCATTCCATTCCATTCCATTCTGTTCCATTCTATTTTACTTCATTCCATTCTATTCTATTCTATTTTATTCCATTCTATTCCATTTCATTCTATTTTGTTTTTTTCCATTCTATTCTGTTCCATCCAGCCTAGTTTATTCTATTCTAGAATGTACGGCAAAGTATTCTTCACTGCTCTCATGCATTTAACAGATGCTCTTCTCCAAAGCGATGTACATTTGAGAATAAGTACAACAACAGCAAAGATCTACACAAAAGAAAACATGAGTGTATATTGAGTTTTTTTTTTTAAAGTAGTTTGAATAATTTCACATTTTTAAAAGCAGCTGAAGTGATAATTTGGCATTTTTCATTTGTATTGGAGTGACAGTCGACTGGTATATCTGTACTTCGACTCAAAAATAAAGGACTTTGTGCGCCACTTTCAGATAAGGAAGACAAACTTGACATTTAAAGGTAACTTTTTTCAGTGTCATGATGAAAGCTTAGATAATTAAATAATGTGCTTATATTTCACTACATGAAATAAGTTATCAACAATGAAAAAGTAAACAAAAACAAAACTAAAAAGGTGTTTGACTCTCTAAAGATAGTAGTGAAAATCTACGCAGCAGGTAAGTAAAATCTCATTGGACAGAAAAATCTGGTGAATCGATTTGATTCGTGAATAAAAATCCAGAGCACCCGTCACCTTCACTTTAACTCATAACTCCACAAAAATGCTCTCTGCTTTTTGTTACTTCCACAAACTTTCCGGGGAAAACACGTTCGGTTGATTTGCCCTCCAGAACTTTCCTATTGTGCTCCCTCTCTGCGGTTTTCTGTGTTGGACACGCGTTGCTCTCTGAGGCAGCAGTGATTGCATGCTAATTCATCTGCGGTCCTGTTCTGTAGTGTGTGTTAATCCAGCAGGGCCCGCTTCAAGCCAGACTGTAAATATCCTGCAGCCTCCTGCGAGCCAGACTCAAAAACGCTGCGAAGCCTGAAGTCACGTCAGCGCGGCGAATATCTCCTCACCTATGATTTCCACCCAGAGGGGACTCCTGATGGTCTGTTTTTCTGTCAGAAAGAGCATCTCCCTTCTAATTAAGTGGCTTTTCAGGACAAAATTACTCCTTAGGGAGGCTCTATGAAGTTCTATTTGTATGGCGCTGCAAACTTTAAGACATGTTTAAACTGCAAGAATTCCTGAGTGAGTTTTTACGAAATGAAACAGATCATTGCTGGACCCACAGTCGGAGTCCGGCGCCCCCTTGACCTTCTTTCTCTCCCTGTAATTTCAAACCGAGAACTCCAACAACAATGTGTGCGGCTGATTGAAGACGTATTTATCCGCTTTTTTATCCCCCCTCTTTTTTGTCTGGGAAACACAGACGTTGTGTAAAGAGAAATAAAAGAATAACACTTCCAGCTGGTTCGGAGCAGCAGGGCCGGAGTTAAAATGAGCGGCGGGCTTTTATGACACAGCCACGACACCGCAGTAATTAGGTCCCCGCTGTAACTTTCATCTCTCCACAAAAAAGGGGGAATAATATGAGGAAAGTACACACACCCAGACAGGGCACGTCATCCAGGGTTCCCAAATGAGCTCAGCGCAGGAGGGAGCCTCTCAGAAATAAGGTCTTATTCCTTATGAGAGTCTGAGGAAATTCGCAGATGGGTTCCCTTCGAGAGAAAGTTTCATTTTCAAGCAACAAATCGCTTTTTTTTACAACCTTACACTCAACTAAACAAAACTTTAAGCCTTTTTAATTGTTCCTTAAAGCAGGTCTAGTAACTTTCTTACGATCAGCCACTCCCTTCACAACATCAGTGCAACCAGACGTTTAGAAAAAGCACCACACAGGCCGAAAAACTCTCCACAGACACCCAAAAATACTGAGAGGCCGACTCATCTCCTCAGCCCACCCTCGGGCTTTTCTTGCAAAAACAATCACAACCAAGTATCAGGCGCAGAAAGTTAAGATGCTTTATATTCGATCGATATTCGAGAAGGTAGCATGGAAATGTGCTCTCAGGTTCTGTTTTCATTTCTGTATCTAAATTCAGGTTTTAGCTCAAGTTTCTGGTCCAGATGGTGAAACCTGAGCGAGACTCGATCTCGTGCAACTGGCAGCGGTGTAATATTTAGACAGCTGATTGAGTCAGCGGCCCAGTTAGCCCCGATAATCAGCGTGATTGGTGTTAGCGTGGGGAAAATGCACAGCACATGTAATGAGTATGCAACAGAGGGAGAGGGATTTGGAGGCCGAGGCTCGGTTTACCTATGATTTCTCGAAAAAAGAAAAGAAAATATGATGCAATGTGCAAAATTCTGGATTAAATTTGATTTTTGTAACATTTTTCAGGTACAAATTACCACAAAATACTTTATAAATCAGATTAGTAAGCTTTGTAGGCTTCTTAAAGTTGTCTTTGTGCCACAAAACCTGTAAATTTAGGAAATAAGATCAATTTTCCAGCATTTTTTGACTGTTTGGTGTTAATATCTTTCGCCTAGTTTAAGATTTGTGCACAGAAACCGTCTGTAAACTGCAGCTGAAGCCGCCCAGTCAGAGGGAACAGCAGCTCTCCGAAAAGGACCACCAACACTTGAGCAAAAACTCTGATCACACGCTGTAAAAATAAGTGCTGCAGGTGTTATTCTGTACATACAAAGACGCCTCTAAAAGGGGGGTTGCATGTCAGCGCTGACGGCCTCAGCCCTCAAAAGGACAGGGAGAACGACGAGCACACTTTCCCTGGAAAACTAAGAGCTCCCACTAATATCACGTTCCCTGCAAGAACTCCGGCGACCCGACCTCGGCAGTTTGTCACGCAGTGATTGATTATTGTGGCGACTGCAGGTTGGAAAGGGCTGCAGGTTGCGTGGGAAGCTCTACCTGTGGAGGCGCAATCTGAGGAGTGAGATTTATCCAAAAAAGTGACATTTTTTAAAAAAGAAATACCTTTGCTGTGCAAAATTTGTCGCATTTAATCTAATGTGCAGGTTATTTAAGGACTGAGTTTCAATTTCACGGCCTCAAGCGGTTTTGAAACAAGCGGTTTATCAAAAAGATTTAATGCAGAAGCAGAACTTTGGTGCAAAACACCTGAATATGCTTTGGTTGTAAATTTAAATGAGTCTCACATTTCCAAAAATGAAAAAAAAGTGACCCTAAATCTCACAGCGCTGATGCACTTCATCGCTCAGGTCATGCAGCATGTCTGTTAACTGTTGTGTAATTGTGAAACAGCATTTGATTATAAAATTGATGGTAATGGTGTAAAAAGACATACTTTGAAAATGCTTTACAAACCTAAATCTGATTTAAAAATTATCTAAATTTTATTTTATTTTTTTTAGATGAACAAATGAAACGGTGTGCAGTCAACATCTGCAGTATTTTTGCTCAATTTTCAGTCATTATGACAGGATTTTTCAGGACTTAAACTAAAATAAGGGCTGAAGAGCGTTTATCAGTTTATGCATGTTGAGTGTTGCATATAAGGCGCTGATGTTGTCTTTTAAAAATTAGATTTACTGTCAATTTTTTAAAACTATTTTTGAATTTTTGCAAAAAGTATTAGTCTTTGAAATAAAAAGTGCTGATATTATTGTGGTAATGTTTATCTTATACCAAGACTGAGCAAAAAAAAAAAGATGATTTTATATCAGATCTGTAGATGTCTTATATTTCTAAAACAGTTTTTCAGTGAGAATATTTTTAGAAATCGGTGTCTTCCCTCAGTTTTGTTTCTAAAAAGTGACCCGGACCTCTCTGGTCTGAACTCTTCTTACCTGAACTGTCACTTTTCCTCTTGCCGTTCCTCTTTTCAGCCTCAGCAGGTGACAGAGTCTGTCTGCCAAAGTCTGCAGCCACACAGGAGGCCCCTGTAGGGGTGCTGCCACTGCCCAGACTGGGGGTGCTGGCACACATACTGGGTGCACCCGGGTGGCCCAGATCGGGGGTAGTCGGCCCGTTATCGTGGGCCGAGTGGGAGTGTGGGTGGCAGAGGTTGTGGCGCGTGCCCCCGCCAGGTGAGGGCATCTGTGGGATGTGCCAGGACGTGTGGTGCTGAGGTGGGTGGTGATGCTGCTGGGAGGGCAGGTGGCCGCGGTGTGGGTGGGGGTGGTGGTGGTGGTGGTGTTGCCCGGGAAACAGGCCGTCGTCCACCTGGTAGCTGGAGATGATGCAGGGCGAGGGAGAAGAGGTGGAAGAGGAGGAAGAAGAAGAGGCCAGGTCCGGGTAGGAGACGTGGTCTGAGCGTCCGTGCAGGGTGAGGGGGGACTGGGTGAAGGCAGGATGCAGGGCCTGAGCCGGGGCGTGGGGGCTCCGCAGGCAGCCAAAGAGTGTGTGATCCATGGCGGGGACACACACACGCACTATCCTCCAGAAAAGTTAGATGAAAGAGTAAAGTTATTAGAAAAGACAAAGATCCAAGCACATATCCAGGGTGGTTCTCCTTTCCCCTCAACTTCCAAAACTTTTTCCCTCAGTTAGAAATTTTAAAAACAGCAGAAAGCAGAGGAAGTGTTTTTGTCCTGTGATAATCCGGAGTGTGCGGCTGGTTGCCAGGCTGTACAGGATAAACAGTGAGCCCAGATCAGCTGCAGCAGAGCCTCTCGGATGTCAGGAGGAGCAGGAGACCGGAGCTCGAGGCTGGGAGCAGAAGGAGGTTCCTAGGAACTGCAGAACGAGGGGAGCCGGCGGAGGGGATGTTATAAATAGGGTGTAACGTGAGAGGGAGGCTGGGTCACAGACTGCATACGCGCTACTGACCACATACATATGATCGCCCTCCGAAAAGCTCAGCACAATAAATCTGCACTATTAAAAATGGCTGAGCCTTCAGGAAAGAGGAGCATTTATTTTGGACTTGGAGCTGACCTCCGGTGGCCATCTTTCTTTCTGTTTTTTTCTTGAAGAAAACAGCCTTATTGGTTCATGGGTGGGGCCGGGGGCAGAGGGGGTTAAGGGTGGGGGTACATGGTGAGGGATATGGGGAGAGGTGTCAGGGGGTTAATTCAGTGTGTCAGCTTGTCTTTGTCAGTTTTGACCCTTTAAAATACTGTTAGTCTTAAGGAGGAAGGCGACGACGCTTGTTGCTTCCTTTAAGAGTTGAAAGGATTTCCTTTGCCCAAAGTTTTGTCTGCAGGCTCTGGGTAAAAAAAAAAAAACAACTTGATTTTATAAGCTTGGGTTGCATTACCTAAAGCTCCTCGTAATAAAAACCTAATTAATAATCAAAATAATTAAAATAATCCCATAAATTAAATAAACATTGACTGTAATAAGAATTAACATTTTATCACCATAGTTTATTTTTTTAGAATTAATAAACATTAATCAGGAGTTGTTGTTTTTTTAATTCTTGAACTCTCATTCAGTTACCAAATTACTATTACTAATTTGATGGTGGAGTAAAAAGGAATAATAAGTGTTTTCTCATTTTTTTCATACACGTTCAAACACTGTTAGACATTTCTGTAATTTCTACAGTTATCACAGTATAATACTGTAACCTGCCTTCTCAGTGATTATCTGTAATTTCATTGCATTGTGAAAAGTTTAGATGACGTTAGACAAAACTCACTGTAATGTAGTGAATTTTTCAGATTTACAGTACAGTACTGTGATTCTGCAACAATTTAAAAATAAGTAGTTATGAAATCATAAATCATGATTTGTGACTTTACAACTACTTATTTCAAATTTTCACCATACGGAATGACACCTTTAAATGAAACCAGACATTTAATATTTTTGTTATTATTTAAAATGATGATAAAAAAAATTCTGGGAATTTTGCTCCAACCTTAAAATCTGATTTAGGAACAAAGACTTATGCGAACGTTTTGGAAAAAGTCCAAAAAGTTGGAATATTCATACCAACTCATAACAGAGTTCAAAATTATTATTATTTTTAAATATCAGCAAAAAAAAAAAATATATATTTTTTGCAGAATTCTGAATTTTAAAAAACGCTGAAAAAAGTTGTCCGATTTTACAATAAATTTAAGAATAAGGTCAAAATTGTGAAAAAAACAAAAAAAACGGACTATGAAAAAAATTAAGGATTCTTACAAAGATCGTAAACAAACGTTAAGAGCTCAAAGGGGAAAAATGCCAATAAAAAAAACTACATTTTACAATACGCTGACAAAAAAGACAGCATTTCTAAGAATTCTGAGTAAAATGTCAAAACTTTAAAGGACACTGAGAAAAAAAAGTTGGAATTTGCTGGGAAACTGAGGAAAATAGTTGGAAAATTGCAGGATATTGAGAACAAAAGTCAGAATTCAGAGTTAGCACAGGATTCTGTGTAACAAAAAAAGGCTGAATAGTCTGAGGAGATTTCATAGTGATGGGAAAAACAGATTTCTGGGACAGGAAAATCAGAATTAATAAAAAGTGTCAGACCTTTTAAAAAATTGATAACCATAGAACTGCAAGATAGAAAGTATCACACAAACCTGACAAGAACACGTATAGATTCCTCAGTTATCTGTGAAATAGCAACATTCAGTATTAAAACATGTGAGCGTAAAAATCCAAGCACTTTGAGTAATCATAGAGGGTTTTTATGAAGTGCCCGTAAGACCGAAGATTTCAGCCAATGACAGTTTGAGTCAGTTCATGTATACGACCTTAAATAAGAAGATGAATCGATACTCCTGATTCTTCTGTTGTGTGAGGAAGACGGACGTCCTCACACAGGACACAGTGATGTGTGTTAACAGCCGTTAAAGTCACACCACAGCCTGTGATCTCTCTGCAGTGTTTACTATAGGGACTCCTCCATTATAGTTATGACCCATTCAGACTTTCTGTAACTGTCGTTTTGGAAACTGTGGGTGTGAGGGACCTCAGAGAGACTCTGTATCTTAAAGAGAGTCTGAATTCAGGTTCATTAACTCAGCCGGTTATTTTCTACCTATGAAACCTACAACTACGATATTAAAAATGGATTTTCAATGAAGCCCATTTCTGCCCACTTCTTCAGTCTCATCCCCCCATTATGACTGCCTTTTACCTTTTTTAAATTAAATATTTCTTATTCATGTGTTTTTCTCCCAATTTTATCTGAAAATAAATATAATTTTGGTATGTAGAGTTAGTTTTCAGGTCTAAAATTACTGTTCTTTGACTGATCATTCATTTTAATCACATAACAAAAGCATGTATTGGAGATTTCTTGCTGATTTATGACCCAAAAAGTTCACTACTAGAAGAAAACCACAAACAAATTCATCATCCTGACGCATTAAGCTCTCATATTCTTACAATACTGAAATTAAAGTGGAATTTCTTTGATGTTTATTTGCCCTCAAAGTCTTTTGCTGAACTATTTGAGAGTTAACCCACGTCTATGTAAGTGTAATGTGTTGTTTCAGAGAGAAAAGACTGAATTAATTTTAAATAAAGTTAAAAAAGCATGTGAGTTACGTAGTTTGTGTGCACAAAATAAAAAAAATAAGATGAAAATAAGCAGAGATTTTGCTCAAACTTTAACTCATTTTGGCACGTTTGAACCCCCTTTTTATATTTCTAAAATTCAAAGCACCATCATGAGTGTTTGTAATGAGGTGTAAGGTATTTAAATAGAAACTTTTACAATAAAGAGTGCTGTGATGTATGAAAATATCATGACAAATGTCACTTTTTGTGCGTTTGTGGTTTTTTCCTCCTCGCAGCTTCAGACTCGCAGTGGCTCCTCTCCCCTGAACTCTCTTGTGTGGACGTCGCAGCCTGTGCCACAGGCGCTGTGGGCCGCCTGAGAAAGGAAATTAATTCCTCTTTGAGGGAAAATGACTTTAACAGATCTGACGGGGGGAGGCAGGCTAAAACTCCCCCCCACACACGGTCCCTTTACAGCCGAGTCTGACGGCAGCAGAGCAGCGCAGCAGAGAGGAAAGCCACCTTAGGTGAGTGAGTGTCAAACTCTTCTACTGTTTATTTTACAAATTAAAGCTATTAGCAGGTTAGCCAGGGCCGTATATTTACTCTGAGACGTGAGGAGCAGGTATTAATACACACGTGTTTCCAATCCTGTCGCTGGTCCTGTTGCTCTGATGGCCTGTGGCGGGGGTGTCTGCTCTCAGGCCTGGTTGTCGCCTCTTGAGAGCTGTGCGAGGCAAAAATTCTCACTGAGGTTGTGAAATATGTTTGTGAAATATTTGAGGTAGGTTCTGGTTGTATCCGGACAGTATTGAGGTTCAATCTGACAAACTTCAGTCAAACCTTAATTTTTTTAAAGATCTTATGTGTCGAATTGAATCACAACTATCTCCTGTTCAGTTAAATTTATAAAATAAATGCAACTTGGATAAATTTTGAATCAATCAGAATCATTTATTCTGAGCTACAGTATGTTTGTCAGTCTAAACCATCGCCTGTGTTTGAAGAAAGACTTTACAAACTTCAAAAAACTTTGAACTGGGAGAAGTTACTCGAGAGGGAAATCCAGGATTGTACTTTTTATTTTTATCTGTTAAAATGCTGATTTTTTATTATTTTATGAATTCATACTTATAATTCCTGTAACTGCTTTAAGAGGAAGGTGACGACCAGGCAGTTTGGAGAAATCTATTTTTACCTTTTCGGACTCTGACTCTGAATCAGGTTATAGCCGTGTGAGTTAACACACATATGGGGAATTGGTCTGGGTGTTTTTGGAAGCACAGAATAACGTTAAAGATAGAAATATTCAGATGTTAGTAAGTAAAAAGGCTTTTTACAGCAGTGTGACTACTTTTAAAGAACTTGGGATAGAGAGAGATACAAATATTAAGGTGGTTTAAAACGATAAAAATTAAAATTGAACAAATTATGTGAAACATTAGTCATGAGGAGCTGTACATGTTGAAAGTGGATGATAAATTTGACTAGTTTAAAAGTGTGTTTTTTACTTAATTTCTAACTTATTCATTAATTATCAGAAAACAATGTTTAAACATGTTCAGGACAAAGAATTCAAGGGTATCACTTTGTCCACAGGGGGCGCCCCACTCGATACAAACACAAATTTCTCTACAGGAGCTTTAACTTAAACACAATAATGTCATAAAACGATGTTGCTCACCTTTACTTCCTGAATCAGCCTCATCACTTTTAGAGTGAACACAGAAATTATCAATTATTCTGCTTCATCGATGTCTGACAGAGCCTAGTGATGCAGATTCATATTTTCACTGAGAAGTTTTGCATGTATGTTAAGACTTGAGCTGAAAGAATTATGATTATTCTCAGTTTTGTTAAGTTTGTTGATCATCTTCTGGATTAATCAAGCTGTTGTTCAGTCCATGATCTTTAAGACATTACTTTTCAGATTTGGCCCTGCAGTATCTGTTTTTTTTTAACAAATCCTAAAAGTATGATGTCAATATTCCTAAAAATAAAAAAGACAGATATTGTTCACATCAAGGAGGCAGAATTCAGATAATCTTTTATAATTCTATGAAGATTCTGGTCAATTTAATCTAACACATCAGCTTAAAAACAAACAATACCTTTAGTTTCTTTGGTTTTTAGGTTGTGAACATGTCTGGATTTTATGTTGTCTGATTATCATTTCAAAAGGAAAGACAGCATGTTTAACATGCACCTTCATTTTTTCTTAATTTGTACATTTTATTTGCATTATTTCCAGAAATGAATCACAAAAACTGCTTGAATAACTAAGTTTAAGTTTGAGTGTAAATCAACAAGAGATGACGGCAGAAAGTTGTGAAGTTGCACGTACTGGAGTTAAATGTAGAGTGGCTCACTTCTTACGTCTCTTCACCTCCTAAAGCGCTTATTATCACACCACTTTTACACGATTGTACACAAAATGAGTAGAAAAGTAGAAAAAAGGTGAAAGAGGTCAGAAGGAGAAGAAGAGACTCGGATTTGTTGGGTGTTTTTATGACCTGAAGGCCTCTAGATTTCCTCTGCAGTGGACAGAAAGCGAAGGTGGACGTCTTGCGTTCGGCTCAACCTGTGGCTGTCAGTCACTGGAGCAGGAAGGATTACAGCAAACACAGCTGAGTAACACTGTCACCAAAACAAACACACAAGCACCACTTTGCTTCAGTTTGCACCCTCATTACGCTGCAGAGCTTTGGTTTGGTTTCCCTGAAAAATAAGCAACCCTCGCTTCACCGTACAGTGAAGGTTTCGCAGGGTTGCGGTGATCCTATACAGCAGGGACAGACTGG